TACGCCGTGGCCTTAGCCACTTCCTGCCACAAGGTATTGCTTGATCTCATTGCACTCCTTCCACAGTTTGGGCCAAAGTCATCGCAGAAAATTGTGCAAATTGAAGAAAACAAAGGGAGGTTCAAAATCCTTGAAGCACGTCAGTCTCCACTGGGTGTGGCAGTTAATATTGATTTATTTGAGCCGATCTGGTTTCCCAAGAGCAGGGCCATTTCTGGGGCACCTGCCCGACAGCCAAATTGCAGCCTTTGCAGGATTAGTCATGAAAGCCTGTGGTTTTGCACTCTGCACATCCAGCCCTGCAGACAAAGACTGTTGACATGAGCAGACCAGGCAGGTACAGAAGAAGGCGGTTGATTCCCATTGGTTGGACTCTCCAGGCCTAATGAACCACTCAGCCCGGTAATTAATATAATGACAAGACTATTCCCTAAGTAAACAGGGGGAAAATCAATGCAAACGACACTTTCCATTGGCCACTCCGCTGGCTTATGACTTCATAGCAGTCCTCCTGAGAAAAAAGTACTTCTCAGTCCCGGTGAAGAAATGGCTTTTGGGGTACCTATTAGTTTTGTTTCTCTGAAGATGTAGGACACACAACATCTGCCACTTCAGGTTCTCCTGCTGGAACTGCCAGGAATCCGCGCTGAGGTAAGAAGTGATCCGCAGTTTCTTGGACTGAGTTTTCTGGACTTGCTGCTTTACTGGGACTTTAACTTGGCCCATTCACCAAGACACTGTGTTCCAGGGAGCTTTTAACTTAGAGGGAAAGAATATTTCAATAATCCTTTTGAAATATGATCTGAAGGGCTTGGATCAGGATGAATATTTAATCCTTAATATCCTGCCTCCAGATTTGCTTGCCAAACAACCAAGGGACAATCTGTGATTCCTAATTACACGTTACCACCAAATAAAGGCCTGAACCTACAGTAAATGTGTGGGTGCTCTTCATACTGGAGACACACCCCAAAAGGATATGGATATTTCACCTGTGGGGGTGGAACAGGCGTGGGGAACCACATCTCCGTGGTCGTCTCAGTGTTAGGGACTCCGCTCAGGACTTTTGCAACAAATTATAGCAAACCAAGCAGTAGTTATATAGAAATGGGTTTTCCAGCTTTGTTTTGTCAAAATAATGCTGCATCGTGCATTGAGCGCATGGGAACACTTACATCAGTGGGACATTTGTAATTTAAGGAGGCATTCACAGCTCTCTTCTGCTTGGTCGCGACTGCCACGAGGTGGGAAGCCTGCGGAATGCCCAAGCTGCCTCCGTCAGATTTTGTTTCAGCCAGTGAGTTAAGATCCACAGTTGTGCCTTCCTTGTGGTGGCTCGTTCCAGTGGCATCACCGATTTTAGGACATTGTTTTTTTTTTAAGGAAACAAGGAGAGAGCATGGAATAACTGTGCCTTGAATAGTTTTGAAGAAAAACAAGAATAGACCCATTGCAGCTTGTTACACAAAGGCTGCACCAGCAAAAAAAATCCCTCTTCTGCACAGCTTTAATCCTGCTACCTTCCTTTAGGTCTCTGGGCACACTGCACAATGAAGAAAGATGGGTGTAGGGGGCAGAACAAATAAATAAACGGCAAATTCCATCTCGTAGGTTGAGGCTAAAGGTGGATGCTAAGTATAAAAAGGTGGACCAAGTGTTATGCCAGCTTGGTGGACACCAGCCTTCTCAAAATGGTGCTCTCCACGTGGATTGATGGGAATTGTAATCCAACACATCTGGAGGGAGGCAAGACAGGAAAGGCTGTCCTGTACAAGTTTGAGACATGTGTTTAAACAGCCCTGAACGCTGAAGTTCATCTCAATAATTGATTGAATTGCTCCCCTCGATCTGAATTTGTAAAGGTTGATTTATTAAAGGTTGATTTATATCATGGATGGGTTTTTCCTGTCGGCTATCGCTTCTCAGCTTAATTTTCTGTAGTGACACAGCTCTGTTTGCTGTGGCAGGTGCGAAGATTAAGTGGAACCTTGTTTGAAAGGTCCCTGCATGAACAGTGTTGGAGATAGATAGAGGGGTGTGTGTGTGAGCACATGTACTGTTGGCTCAAACAAAAAGTGCAATCAGTTTTGTCAGAAGATGAATGCTAAACACTGGAAGGTGTTTGTGTTGGTGGGGCAGGTTTAACTGAAGAAAAATAGCTTATTGGAAATTTCCTAAGAAGATGGTCTGGTTTGTTTATAAAAATGTGAAATTACAAAATAGTTTTTAAAAGGTTGAGAAATATTTTAAATATCCGTTATGCTGGAATCAAACTAAAAGTACTAATTCATGTTGGAATGCAAAATATGATTTCCTTTTAAGAACATGCACAACACAATATTTGAAACTGGGAGGAAAAAAGCTTCCATCCTAGGGCACCTAAAGGTCGACGTAAAATGTAAAGGTGTTTAAATGCTTTGGCATTGAATTTTTGGTTATGAAATAGAAAACTGAAAAACAGGCCCTATTCTTTTTAAATTAGCCAATTTTTGCATTAGATTAGCGCCTAAGGAACTCACAGATCTTTTTTCCCCCCGTTTTCCAGAGCTCCATTCCCAGCTGCACTTTCAGGTATCTGGTAACTCACAATGCAGTCCTAGACTTGTACTCCCAGGTCAGTGGATGTACGAATGCAGCCTAAACCCTACAGAACTCAGAGGGTCTTGCATGCATACATGTTTTGCTGTGTATGTTTTTCAGTACTGTTGCTTTTCATAGAGCTTTTAGCTCTGCTGCCACCCCTCCTCCATGGAAAAAGATACTAAGGAACATAAAAGGGGGAAATATATAACTTCTTTTAAAACGAATGGGATTCATTGTGATGGATGAGTGAGGTGCCAGGAGGCCTTTAACCTTCACTCGTTCCGAGAACGGGAACCACTGCATGTGGAACATTTATTGCCAGTTTCGTATACTGAGAAGACTTTGCTCTTAAGCTGCTAGTGTGACAGTCCTTCCGTTCACACTCAGTGGCTGAACATGGAGAAAAATTGTATGGAACTTTTCATGTTCTCTACTTGGAAAAATATATGTTTCAATATATTTTAAAATGGAGGCCATTCTGTTCTGTCCAAGTCAAATATTTTATTAAGCCATCATCTGCTTTCAGAAGCACACCTCTTGTTAAGAAGGGTGGTTCCAGATGGTGGACTGCTTGAACTACAGTAACATTAATTTGCACCCCTCCCAGGTTTTTCCACTACTTTTCCCACCATTTTTCTTATCAGCAAAAAATAAAAAATAAAAATAAACCTCTTAATGAAAAATGATGGAATAACTACAGAATGTCTTTTGATTACATTCACTAGGAACATTCCATCTGGAAGCAAAGCTCACACTGATATTTTATTTGCATGAATACAGGTTATGCCACTAAAAATGTAGGCAATAGTATCCGATTCAGCAATAATTGTAATGGTTTGACCCCCTCCCCAAAAAATTTTACATCATTGCCATTGCCACTCTCCCTCTATGACCTCAAGTCCTCATTATCTTGAAACTGAGGCCTACCAAATCATATCTAATTGAACCTACAGAGTTTATATTGCAGGCACTTCAGTCTAACAACTTGTCCCTTACCAAAATCTTCTATTTTTTCCCAGTCTTACGTTTCCAAGAGTCTCATGATTTAGAAACTTGTAAATAATATTATTTAGGATACTTTCCAGAAGGTGCAATTAGCGATGTCAAGACACAGACAAAACTAGATTTTTATTTTATTTTATTTTGAGATGGGATTTACCCCTATTCCTGCAAAGATCTTTTGGGAGTGAGGGGTGGGAAAGATGGAACAGCTTCAAAAAATGCTCCATCGGTGCTACCGTGGCTGTTCCCAAATATTTAATACTTACAAAGGAGAAGCCAAAGCAAGAGATCTGTTCTCTCTCCCCCACAGCAGCACTTCCTCTTGGACAAGGGGTGGCTGCAAATACTGATTATTTCTTCATGTGATCTACAGAGGTACATAAAAAGGCTTAGCACATTCAGACAAATGTGTGTGTGAAGCCCATTCAGATTAAGCCCAAGGCATCCTTCTGTAATCTCAGGGCAGAGCACTGAGTGCTTTACATTCAGGAGCTCGCTTGGTCCCTGGCATCTCATAGGACCAGAGTCTTGCTGGTTCAGACCAAGGGTCTACCTAGTCCAGTGCCGTGGCCAAACAGCTGCCCCAGGAAACCCACACGTGGGCAAGACATAAATGCTGCGGCACATGCACACACGCCGTATTCCTCAGCAGCTGGTATCCATATGCACACTGCTCCTGATCCCGTAGGTCGCCTATGAGCATCCAGACTATCACCACTGAGAGCCTTAATCCTCCATGAATTTGTCCAGCCTCCTTTCAAAGTGGTCTGAACAGAACTGGCCTGCAGCCCCTCAGCATCTGTGTTTCCTAAGAACACCTCTGGGGCCAGATGGACTCAGAGGGGACATTGTTCTTTGCCAATGGGTTGCTTTTGTAGGTGCTTGAATTGGATTGTATGTTTTGAACTGTCATCTTATGGTTCCTTTTGCTGCTTTATTGTAAGCTTCCCAGAGAGCCCACTGGGCTATGGGATGGCATAGAAATACAGTGGATGGATGGATGGATGGATGGATGGATGGATGGATGGCTTCTCCAGACAGGGCTGGTACAAGCACTGCATAGACCTGTGTAGTCCAGAGGTGAGGAACACACGTCCCTCCACGGTCAGACTCCAATTCCATCAGCCCCAGTCAGACCAGCCATTAGTCAGGGACATTGGGAGTTAGTCCAGGAACACCCAGAGGGCTGCACATTTCCCATCCCTGGTGCAGCCAGTGCTCGATTGATGGGTGCTGTACCCACCCCCCAATACTTTCCACCTGCCTCTGGAGCCAAGAACTGTATAATTCTGTTTGCACAGCCACCTCTAACCCAAAAGCTCAGCCCTCAATAACCCAGTCTGTTCAATGCCACAGGAGGACTGGAGCCATCAGCCCCGTCCGATCCGGCCACCAAGCCCAACGGGGACTTAACCATGGCAAGCCAATCGACAGCATGGCAGAGGCACCACCCCCCGGAAGCTGCAAGAGGGGAGTCGGCTCCAGGCGAAGACGCCAGCTGGAAGATCCGCTATGAAAAGTCATGGCTGCACCGGCACTGCTCCTCACTCCTGTGCAGGGATAGGCAGGCTCAGAAGGCCGGGCGGCTTTTCTCAGGACTGATGGCAATGAATGTGCTCTTTCTGGGCACTGCTTTCATCTGCAGCATGATCTTCAACAGGATGGTCATCACGGTGAACGACGTCTGGATTTTCCTGTCTGTCCTCAAGATCCTGGCCTTAAGCTGGATAGCATACTATTTACTGTTCACTCGGCGGAAACCACATGCGGTCATATTTCGGGATGCTCATGCAGGACCAATTTGGGTTAAAGGTACATACTGCTATTCCCTGTATCTTCTTTGTGATCTGTCAGTTTATCCACTGGAACAGTGGCACCTATTAAATAGTCACAATATCTATTTTCTCACTCTGCATACAAGGGGGTGTTGTTATGCGCTAAGCTTGTGCTTTGCTGGTCCATAGCACCTTTGGAGTAGCTTGAAATGGGCCATCCCAGCTGATCGCAAGATCTCTTAGCTTTACCACTATGGGCAAAATGTCAACATTCTGGAACTGAAAATACTTGGGGAGGGATATACAATGCATTAGTGTAAACATATTTATGACATGGAAATATTAAAATATGTACTATACACATGCATGCACCCACATGCACGATCACCCCCACCCCAACAAAAAGGGCTGACTCTTCCCTCAGTCATTACAGCCACTAGCTCCTTTAGTTAACCTGTAATAGTTCTCCAATTTCCCCTCTTAGATGTTAGGAAGCTAAGAGATGAGATAACAGACGCCCCTTGTATTAATAGCTGTGGTGACAAAATCCAGGCTGCACCTACAACAGAATTCTTTCTCAAAAAACATAAAATAAATAAATAAATAAATAAAGTTTTGCAGCAGAAGTGCCTGCCTTCCACATATTTTAGACCACACCTCCCACCATCCCTTATAGTTAGCCATGCCGGCTAGGGCTGATGGAAGTTGAAATCCGAACATCTGGAGGCCAGCACATCAGATTGAGGAAGGCTGAACTATAGGAATACTGTTGTTTTCCATGAAAGGGCTGGGTGCCAATTTGCAGGATGCAGAAGGCTCTTCCTCTGGCTGAATGGCCAGGGAGCAGAGAAAGCAGAGAAAGTGTTGCAGTAATAGATCATTACCTTCACCCAAATGTGCAGGTGGTCAACAGGGCCAGTGCAACAAGGGTGCCTCTGGGCTGAGTTATGTGCCCAGGGGCAAACACAAGCGAGACCCAGCCTTCCTTCCCCTGCCCAGACCACTCAGTCATAAACGGAGCAGCAGACCAACATCCCCACGCTGGCTGCCACCTTTTCTGACAAGGCTCCTGGGCATTCAAAAACTGAACATCATCCAGAAATGTAAAAGATGGTGCTTTAATTAGTTTTCAGAACTATCTACTAATCTCCCCAGTGTGGAGATTTCAGACAGGTGTAGCATAAAAGATGAAACAGATGTTTTAAAAACAGTGCTGAAATGAATAAACCTGTGTCAGGTTAGTTTGGGAAGCTTTATCATCCATTATGATGTGCTTCTCCTGTGAGGAAAAGACCACCTGCTATTAAAAGGCAGGTTGATATGAGAGAGAGGTTGCTCCCTTGGGAAGCTTGGTGTGCACCCTCTTTTGAAAAGCAAGAGAGTACAATGGACTATGGTAGGAAGCAGGAGCATAACAGATGACTGCCCCCCCCCACACACACACACACATGCAAGCACTTGGAAAAGCCTCGACTGGCATCACGGAACTACACAATACATTGCATGTATTGTGGGGTCTCCTGTACCTCACCCCCTCCCCTGCAGTCCAGGTCACCCGGATAGTTAAATCAAGGTGGGGACTGTGGCTGTCTAGATGCTGCACAGAGCACAGGTTTTCCACCTCTGGTCTGGGGTGACTGCCAACTCTATTTGCCAGTGAGGTCTCCAAAGACTAGCAGATTTTATAGACAGAAGCCAAAGAATAAATGAAGCACCTCCTCTTTCCCTGTTTCTTCATCTAAAGGAGATTTTTTTACTGTGAGCTATGGGATGGGTGGTGGGCATTAATTTTAGCAGGGGTGCTGTCAGGCCCGTTTAAGAATTGTATGCCAAACATTCCACAGTGTAGTTTTTCCTGGTGGGGAAAGCACATGGGCAGTAAAGCAGCATCTCTCAAATCTCCAGAGGAAGGTCACACGCCCAGAGGCCCACTAGCAGCTGCTCTCCGTCTTCAGGATCGCAGCCTGCCTCTTGGCCGCCTTCTCCCTCAGGCCTGGTGGTGGTGAGGGAAACCATGGCAAGGAAGAGCTCTGCTCGCTCATCCCCCATCCAGGGGCAGCTCCGATGAGGAAAAATGAGGAAGACCAAAAGCAACTGGTGACAACAGCAGTGAGGGTGCCTTGCTCAAGTGCCTGCAAAAAACCTGGATGTGGCATACACCACTACAAAGCTAATAAAAGCTGCTGGTAAGAACTGAGCTAGCCAGAAGTGGACAGATACTGCCTGTTCTGGGAACAATCAGAAACCCATGATACTTCTCCTTTTTGTGTGTGCTTAGGGTGTTTTCTACAGATGCCACTGCAGTTGGTTTGTTTTTATCATAATTTATTTGCTTTTAATCAAATATTGTTTGGTCTGTGCATTCATACAGGATCCTTACTACTGTTTGGAATTTTCAGCATCCTCCTGAATGTGTTTGATATTGGGCATACTGCCAGTCACATTCAGTGCAAATCCCAGCTGGAATTCATCTTCCCAGCCATAGAAATTCTCTTCATCTCCATTCAGGTATTAGAATTTGCATTTGCTACAGCCCAGCTTCTCCTCTACAGTGCTAGCAAAGGGGTAGCTGAGTCAGTTGCTTGCTGTAAATAAGGGGTTTGATCCAGATTTGGGTGCATGTAGCAGGACGTCCCTGCTTCCTCCTCCCAGCCCCTTGAACAAGCTACACAGAAGGTTGGGGCTCCTGCTGAATTATGGTGCAAGAGGGGCATCCTGGAAAACCAGACAAAAGCCTTCCATGTCTATCCACAGAAGGCAGAACCTGCACACCTGCTCAACTTACACTTGAGCACTTCTCTACACAAGGCTGTGGAACCACCGCTGATTCCTGTATTGTAGTTTCATAGCAGAATTGAGATCCAAGCACTCCCGGAAGAGCATTTTTCTTGCTTTCCTGCTACAGACATTATTTTTCCTCTTTTACAAAGTAATGTCCTTCCCTTTTACAATCAAATGCTGCATTTTTCCTGTTCTAAATAAACTCACTGAAAGTGTGGGGTAGACATAGAAGTGAAAGTGGAGGATCACAAGAACATTTAAAGAACCCATAAAGCACCATGAATAAGCAAGGAGCATACAATGAAAGCATCACGTAGAAAAGACTTCATATAGCAGCCTTCCACCTGATAACCTCCCGACAGATTGGCTACAGCCACAATTAGCCAGGTTGGATGGGGTGATGGGATTGTAATCAATACACATTAGGATAATGATGCCAAATGTATCAACTGCAACGTCCATGCTCTGCAGCCAATGAGGCAATTAGCCCATTGGCTGGGAATGATGGGGATTGTATAACACATCTGGAGGCCACCAAGTTGGGGAAGATTGGCATACATCCATTACATACAAGGCATGGTTAATAGAATTCCCCTTGGAGAATTCTAGGAGGAAATCCTCTGCAGTTTTCGTCCATTTCTTCTCTGCTCTTCTCCAAGGTTGCAGAAAAGCAGGCTAGGGAAAGAGGGCAACAGAGAAATCCATGGTCATCAAACACAGAGACTGAGAAAGCAAAGTTCTTGCCACCCACATACAAGCAGTTCTTCAGCATGTATGCGTGTGCATGTACACGTGTATTCAAATATCTGTGCCCAAGTGCAAAACAAGGCATGTGTCCAACTTCGTAATGGCTATATACTGAGAAGTGTAATTTTGCTCGCTGGGAATCCCTATCATCCCCAGCCAACATAGCTAACTGCCACATTTGCTTTAGATGATAAGAGCTGTAGTCGATATATCTAGTTCTACCATTCTATCATCCCCAGAGCTATCAAGAAATATTATAGAATATAAACTAAACCAGAACTGAACTATCACTTGACCAAGAATGTAGCCCATCATCTATTTCCATTTTAAGACACTGTATGCATTTGTGCAGAACTGTTTTCAAACTCAACACACTAATTTTATTCTCCACATTGGTTTTCAGACATACTTTATATGGTGTCATGCAAAGGACTGCACCCAAGTTCAGCACAACCTCACCAGGTAGGGAAACAGCAGCAGCAGCAAATTGACCAACCGGAATGATCAGAGGGGAACCACCTGTGGAAGGAGTAGGAGATCTAGCACAGATCTGTTTCACATGTATTTATTCACATGGCCTCTGGGTTCAACAGAACTGGTATGTTCAGGAGTTTAACTTGGGTTACGTGGGTGTATTTACACACAAGCAACCCACTTTTCAGAATTCCATGCAAGTCAGCCAGGGTGACTAACAACATTAAAATCAATGCAATGCAAATTTATTACAGCTAAATGAAAACAAATGACCCAGCTAAGAATGCAACCTACCAGATCAAGAAAACAAGACATGCCTAGCCAGTCACAGCCCAAATTCACTCTCCTATACATGGTGTTTAGTGGGCTCTTGAAGACGAGGAGCAAAGTGGAAGGTAGATGGGCTTCCTTCACAAGGAATTTTCTGTGCATGGCTGCCAGTCAAGGGGAGGCTGTATCCTGGGGGCTTTGCAGCAGCACATGGAGAAGAGGCTCAGGGCTAAATGATGCATGATGCTGACTGCTGAGCGTTAGCTTATTTATTCTAAACTAAACATGCACAACCCCAATCTGAATCAGGGCCACGTGCACTTACACCAGAGTAAATAGAAAGCCAAACCTCAGCCACACACTGTGCGATTAATCCACTGTGCAGCTTGATTCCCACGTATCAAGTCTCTCATGAGCAAGAATTTCAGGATGAGGCTAAACCAGGAAAAGCAGGAAAATAAAAGCATCCCTGTGTCCACCCTGAAAAACACGGGGAAGGGGGGTTACATGTGTTCTCAGAGATGCTTTGGGGCAGAGGGGCTCTTCAGAAGTGGGATGTGCATTCTGGGGAAAAGATGTCCATCCAGGTGTTAGGACCAGCCCTCCGCTCCATAGCCTTCACCTGCGTCAGGGTGGGATTTTTCACCATAGAACAGGCTAAAAGGGAAGGAGGCAGTATACGGGACTAGGCAAGCATTCAAGGAGGGGGTTTTGACAACCTAAACACGTCTCCTCAGTGCTTGTATTTCTTTTGGTTGTAGCAGCCTTGATTCACAATGGAACTGGGGCCAAAGGCATCCTTGATCTCCCCTTCTCAGAGTGTCTTGCCATTCTTCTTTCTCATGCTAGCAGATGGCTATTTTCCTACAGGATGATGCAACATGCTCCATCCCACACTATTCATGTGGTAACAGGAAGAGCAACTAAAAGTGAGATTATTTTTTCCCACAAGCAGAATATTTACCTTTAGCACACATATTGAGACAATCTTCTCACAATCTGTTATGTCGCTTCCACCTAGGTCCCCACAACTTTGTGTAATTCTTTGTGTGGGTCTCTCTATTCCCATAAACATAGCATACCAAGTATAGAAGTGACTGCAAAGGAAATAGGAACATGTTTCCCTCGATCCAACTGGGATAGGATAGGAACATCTAACTCAGCCTTGAATATTTGACACACACACACAAAATGCTTAGGTTATCCAAAGGGCATAATCCTATGCATGTTTAAACAAAAAAGTCCTACAGCTTCTACCATGCCCCAGTCAGCATGGACATGGGCAGCTGCAAGACTGTTTCCCATCTGAACATGTATAGGATTGTGCCCTGAGTCCGTAACCAAGTATGTTTGTTTGTTTGTTTATTTAGGAAGCTTCTATGCCGCCCCATTCGCCGAAGCCTCAGGGCGGCTCACAACAATATAAAAACAATATAATTGGAGACGTCCTGGCCAAAGATATAAAATCAATAAATAATATTAACCATTAAAATAACATTTGAATAAAAAGGTCTTCGCCTGGTCCCAAAAAACAAATAACGACGGTGGCAGGCTGACCTGTCTGGGGAGCTCATTCCATAGATTGGGCGCCACCGCAGAGAAAGCCCTCCTCCGGGTACTTACCCTCCTAATATCCTTCACGGAGGGTTCCCGGAGAAGGGCCTCTCCCGCTGATCTCAAGGGGTGGGCGGGCATATATGGACATAAGCGCTCCTTTAGGTAACCAGGACCCAAGCCGTTAAGGGCTTTATAGGTAATAACCTTAATGTTATGACCTTAACACTGAGCAATCCAAAAAAGAAAGAGCAAAAGCTTTTACCCTCCATCCCTACTCCTCCACTGTCAAAGTTTACTCTGCTTCTTTTCAGGCTAGGATCCAGGGACTGTTTTCTCTTTTTAAATGCAAGTTGAAGTTCTCGAGATGCTGATCTCAGGACCCAGTACTGAACAGCATATTGTGGAGTGGGTTCATGGATACACACATATCCTAATTACACTCCTGCTCCTGAAGGAGTGAACAGTACAAGTTTAAAACAATGCACTAAAAACAAAGTAACATTTTAGGACAATGGTTTAGGACAAAATAAAAACCGTTTCCTGGAATGCGGTTGCCTTTAGCAGGTACCAAAAACAGCAGAATGTTGGGGCGTGCCTCATCTCCAGAGGCAAGGAATTCCGTGGCAATGGAGCTACCCCCTGAAGCCTCCTCTTGTGGGTGGACTCCATTCAGGCCTTGGGTCCATGTAGAACCACTGTCCTCCAGTGACCTCAGGTTGGGAAAGCAGAAGGCACTCTCTCAGGTATCCGGGTCCCAAATTGGGCAGGCCCATGTGCTGTTGAGTCACTTATGAGTCCACTCCCATATGATCAAGGGAACTAAAGCCATAATGCCATGAGTTAGTGTAATAAAGACCAATGGTGAAGATTATAAAAATGTGTTTCTTCTTTGACAGATGTGGACTAATGCTGACCTTGACCAGTAACTTCCTGCTGTGGCTCTTAGCAGTGACCAACGACTCTGTTCACAGGGAAATTGAATCAGAACAGAACCAAACTGTGCAGGAATTAGGAGGCAAGAGTAGCGCTTTGCTTTTTAAGTCTAACAAAAAAAAATCTGAAATATATATTAGATAAACACACTGTAGAACTTCCTTCAATCTATGTGCATTTCCACAGAAACCACTTGTAATTGTGAAGACAATTCAACAAGGTGTTAACCTACTTATGACATCTAATCAAAGAGGGTTTGTTGCTGTTTGATTTTGGGTTGTTTGGTCAGAAGCAATGCATAGCTTTATTAATACTGAGGGCCCTATTTCCAGGGGTAGACAACCTCTTGGACTGCATCTCCCATCTACCCTAGATAGCTTAGCTAATCATGTGGGATGATGAGAACTGCTGTCCAACAACCTTTGGAAGGCCATAAGTTGCCTGCCCTTGCTGTGCACTCTGCTATGTTGAGGATTAGGAGATGCCCATTCCAACACAGCTTCTTCCCCAGTCTATTCTAGAACGTAGGGCTCCAAGCCTTACACCAGTGTACAAAAGGGGAAAGAAAAAGGACCGTTCTCAAACAGTGCTATTCTTGGGGCTGCAGATCTTTCCAACTTCCTTACAATGGGCCAACTTGGCAGTATTTTAATCCAAGCAATGAATTACCCAGCTATGGCCTGGTCTGTGAACTTCACATTCTCTGCATTAGAGACAAGAATAGAAACCACCAAGAACAACCGATTAGGCAGTATTCATGAGGCATCATAGTAAGGAACAGGTTATTGTACCTTCCAACCTAACTAGTACCAATACAAATAGGTCGAAGGAAATCCCCCCTACAGAGGCTAAGTATTAGTATCCCTTAACTTTATGCATTAGATTCTAAAGGAAGTATCAGAGCCATGTTCTATATGATCCTGCCATTCTGTTTTGCTGCAGGCAATGGAACCAGTTTCTGCAAGTGCTTGAATACAACAGCCTGTAAGGTCTTTCAAAAAGGCTATATTCTGCTGTACCCATTCAACATGGAATACTGCCTGATCAGCTGCACCATGCTCTTTGTCATGTGGAAGAATGTGGGCCGGCGTATTAGTCAGCATCATACGACTATCAAGCCCAGATTCGAACTCCATGGAGTATTTTTGGGGCCTCTGCTTGGCATATGTGCAACTGTAATTGGCATCTCTGTTTTTTTGATGTATCAGATCCAAGCCACCGGTTCCTCTCCTAGCTACCAAGCATTCATACTTTATTATTCCTACTACCTCCTTTTGTTGCCTTTGATGACATTAGGGGCCTTAGCTGGGACTGTCATCCACAGCCTAGAAGAAAGGGAGCTGGATACATTGAAAAACCCAACACGAAGTCTTGATGTGATCTTGCTTATGGGAGCAGCCTTAGGCCAGATTGCTATCTCGTACTTTTCCATTGTAGCCATTGTAGCCACCAACCCTACACGTTTGTTGAACAGCATCATCTTAGCCTATTCGGTGAGCCTTATCATTCAGCACATCACCCAGAACATCTTCATAATTGAAGGGCTCCGTAAGCAGCCAGTGTGGGCAAACAAAGAACCCAGCCATTCTACACATTTGACACAAGAGTCTACCCCAACCCAGAGCTTACCAAATGAACACATCACTGGATCTTATGGCTGTCAAGAGTCCTCCTCATCCATAACGAAAGAGATAGAAAAGGATAAAACAGAAAAATGTGAAGACAGTTCTCCAAATAGCTACAATCAAGAGATAAGACAAGAGATCCAGAAAGCCTCACAGAGCTACATCAAGAGTTACAGAAATTTGAACTGGAAAAGGAAAGCTCTGAAGGAGATCTCTAGTTTCTTGATCATGTGCAACATCATAGTAAGTACTTGATCTCAGTACATATAATTAATAAAGCAATCCTGTGTCTTCTAGACAGCATCTAAGGGGTAAATGAATGCTGTGGATTACCCCCTGCTAATTGGAGACAGAACTCAAATCTCAATGATCTGACTGTGGGTTTTACCACTGGCAGAGGAAAGTTCTTATGTCAAGGTTGACATCCCAACCTTAGTGAGGAAGAAATAGTCATTCTGGTGGTAGAACAGAGGGTAGGAACAAAGATCTGCCAGATCCACAAGCTTCTCAGAAGCTATCCCTCCTCACAGCACCATAACTGAGTTAGCCTCAGAAGCTTGTCTAATTGCATTTAAGAAGGAATGGAAAGCAACCGCAATATCAACAACAAAGTTTTGCCATTCCTCCTATCCTTCAAGTCTGTTGCCAGCATGGCATAGGATGGCTCCAAGACCTAAACCCTTCATCTAAGAGCCATCTAATCCATGGATAGTCTGTGTTAGAGTATATAGTAGGCACTTTCAAGCACTCTCATGAACAGTGGCAACTGTGACAAGTCCTTAATATGGGATGCTGATCAAGATCCAGAAATGGATGGTTCTTTGCACACGGGGTCACATTGGCAGCAGAAGGTACAGGAGACAGTGGGCACTGCCAGATGGAAGGCTTCTAACATTACCAAGCAAAAGACATTGTACAACTATTCCATCTTTTCCTCCTTAGATCTTATGTGGTAAGGAAAAGATGGTGGAAACAACGGTAGCAAAACAGGGACAGTGATGTCTGAACGGCCTGAATTTTATGAATAAGGCAAAGTGATAGAAGTCTTCCCTGGAAGCACGTTCTGCAGTAATGCATGAGCCAAAGTTGTTCTATTCGGTCATTGAAAGCAGGGAACTAGGCAGTGTTACTAAACCAAACTAATATTAACATCTCAGATTCCTGTTGTTTTTGCATTTTTCCAGCTGTGGATCTTGCCATCATTTGGAGCACACCCAGTCTTTGAGAATGGAATAGAGCAATCATTTTATGGATATTCCACCTGGTTTGCTGTTGTCAATTTTGGACTTCCCTTGGGTGTGTTCTACAGAATGCATTCTGTTGGCAGTCTTCTGGAGGTATATATGTCTGCCTGAAGGAAGCCTGCACCTTCTTGTATGAATGGGAGACTAAGAACCACAATGAAGCTTATCGCAGTTACTAAAGCAGCACTGAGCACAATTATTATCAGAGCGCCACATTAAAAAGGGAGATTTGCTATCTCTTTTTGAATAGTTTACTACAATGGGAAAAAACCTATCCTTGTATGTAAGCAGTCTATTCTTTACTGGAAATATGCAAAATTGTCACCATCCATGAATGATGCATGTGTCACCCAAAAGAGCCTGAGAACTGGACCAACTTCAAATATCTTTTGAAAAAGCATGAACATTCAAAGTGTTATATTACACGTATCATAAGTGGGCACAAGATGAGGAAGTTCCAGAGAATCTGCTAGATTTTTGCTGTACTAGTTGTCTCAAAACACTTGTTATATCACTCACAAGACCTAATCCTCAGGAAGACTGAAACATCACCTGTTATTGGGCAGAAAAGTAGCAAGAACATCTGTCACAACTTTTAAAAAATAATACTTTGGCTGTTTAAGGAAATTTGAGTTAGATTTGTTCTGTGTTATCCTTTTACACTTACCTTTAAAATGATAGTCATTTAGATGATGTAGAGAAGAGCAAAGTCCTTTTCTACAGGGCCAAAATAGAAACACCTTTTGGGTATTATACCTTGACAGCTCCCCATTCCCACTGGACAGCCTTGTTAATATGATCCACCAGGGCACAATGAAATAGTTGTCTCTTCTAGCATTGCAAAATGTTCCAATTGTGATTATATATTTTATGGGTTAGGATAAACCAATGGTAGAAATCTATTTCATAGTTTATCCTGCAAACACCCCATAACATGGACTGAATCGGGAATACATGTAACAGCTGCAGAGTCTGGAGTCTGATTAGAATTACTGAAGCCATTACATGTGTTCCATGGAAAGAACAGGGGCAGAACTGCCATGAACTTTGAAAAGCCTCCAGCATTTCTGAACAGATAATTTAACTAGCTAAAAGTTCAAGATTTATTGCATTTGCCATCACAGTTGCACCCTGTGTTTATGATAAAGCAAAGCAAGGGTTGGGAAAGGTGCCTCTAGATTGTAACAGCCCATGATTTAGGCTGGTGATTTAATCCTTTATGTAATCAAAGCTGGCCTCAGTGTTCTGATCAATTCATCTTTTAGCCCTATCTAAATCCTTCTTATTGCTGGAAGCTAACAGATAAAAGTGTAAACACTTCTTGTTTTATTGCTCTCTTGCAAAATAAATCACTCCCAAGAGCTATTTGGTTAGAGTCTGAGGTGGGGCCTTCTCAGAATACTTATCTTAAAAAATGGGAAGCCAAAATAGGGTACAAGGGGCTTATTTGAGGTTCTCATTTCAAGGAACTTCTGTTCAGCACTGCTGTCAGTTCTCTCAAACTCAGGACAAAGGGTTCTTTCAAGCTTGGACTTTGTATCCCAGCTAATTTTATTCAGCCTTATGTCAATATGACTTGACAGAAGAAATAGGAGCTGGATAAATTAGCACTCTTAAAAAGTTAATTATTACCCCATTCCTCACAAGTTGAAGCACAGGATCCCAATCAAAAGAACTTACTGAAGGTTAGTTATAAATGAGATATCAGGGAAAAGTAATCATGCAACAAAGAATTCTGTATATGGAAGGACAGCAGGCTTAAGCATACATATGGAGGCTTGGACCAATCACAACCAAATTCAAAATACATTCATGGCACCGGCTGAACAGCACCAAAGCATAGCACTCAATTTTTAAATAGAAAACTTATATTCTTGTCAGAATATTGAGCAATCTAATGTCAATCCCCTTGTATTCTTTTTTTTGGGGTGGGGGAGGTGCATCCATTTTACAAACTTTAATCCTAAAAACCTTTAAGGCATCTAGGTATAGCCCATATTCATCCCATCCCTTTCTGTTAGCAAATACAAGCTACTGTGCAAATGTTCCATACTGTGCTGCATCATCTTGCTTTCAGGTGCTAGTTCTAATTTACCACTAAACATGTTAAATGAAGAGCTCCCTTGCAGCCATAATGGAAAGGTACACGTTGTAAAGGATGCTAGATCATCATAAATCAAATGGTAGCACAAACAAGCTCATAAACCTCTTCTGATAAAGCAAGTTGCAGTGTTTTAAGATAATTTTATCTTAATAAGTAAAGCAAATAGTTTACAGTGCAATTTTGATTTTTCATGGAACAAAGAGCAGACCTGCAACACCAAAGACTGCAAAAGTCAAGATAAATTCACAAGAAAAAAACCAACACATGAACATAAATAAAGATACAGGAGCCACAGAGCGAGTGGGGAGGGGGAAGAGTCAGATAGATGTTTCATAAAGAAATCCTTCTCCCTACTGTGAAGTACAAATGTGGTATGGTCAGGCAGACCTTTGCTAGGACATTCCCAAATCACATTTGAAAGACCAAAGACATTCCCCGTAATACATAGACTTATCTGTCAGTGGCACTGGAATGTGACATAAATTGATACATTTGGTCAATAAAAATGAAATCAGAAAATTTCAAGGAGAAAAAAAATGGCATTTTAATCTATATTTTCACCATCTATACAGAATTAAATCTAGATAATATCTACCATTTCCCTAGTTTGTTTAATAGTAGAATATTGGCCTGCATCTCCCATGATCCCTCACTAATGGCTATGCTGGCCAAGGCTGATGAGAGTTAGAAGCCAAAATATCTAGACATCCATGGATTCACCCATCTCCGCCTAAAATATCTATTCCATCTTTGACCTAAATCAGCAAATTGTACTGGTACTAAATTTGGCAAACCTAGTCAGTTTTCTATGAGGAAAACTTTGTAAGAGGAGGGAAAAATAAGGAACTACAGAAAAATGGCTTCTCAAATCTCAAAACTTCTAGTGAGGGATCAGATAAAGTTGGCAAAGAGTCAGTTACTGAAGAACACATTTGCCATCCTCTGTGGTAACAACAGCCATATACAGCTGTGATTCAAAATTATGGCCCTCCACAGTCTGTCTGAACATCTTACAAGCAAGTGGTGAATGAACTGGACACTTCACGGCCCATATTTTCAAGGGGCTGCTGGCTTGTATCATGAGAAACAAAACAGAATAACAACTTGCGCTCACATCCTAAGACATGCATGCTATTGATCAGCCACCACCAGTTCCTTCAAACTCTTCTGGATAGAAATTCCCATTTTTCAGAACACTGACTCAATTACAGCCCAGCTTAATCAATCAGCCTAGAACAAAAGCCATACTATGTAGCTTCTTAAAGAATTCAATCCCACGCCAGCAGTTTTACTGCCTGCAACAAAGATTTCCCCTAAACCCCTGAAAAATAAGATGTGCCCATTCCTTCCCACACACTTTCAAAAATATCCCATGTTACAACAGCTTCTGCAGCAACCAGTCTTCCAATAAACAGAGATGTTTAAAATGTATGGTGCTTCTTAGAGACATCCATCTTTCAAAGGTGCACCTCCAGGACTAGCAAGAAAGGGCAAGGGAATTAAAAAGTGGATGCTACATTACAGCACCACTACGAAGTAACTAAACACATTTGTAATGGCAGGAAAGGGAACCAAACCCAGAAAATTGACCTGAAGTGATTTAAATAAATAGAGGCCCACAGTCACTATTGAGTGAAGCTACTACCCCACCCTTCTAGATACAATAAAACAAGACAGCAGCAAGGGGGGCTACAACATAAAGAGGTGTTAGGATACATTCTTTGGAAAAGAACCACAGAGCTACCTCCTGCAGTAGCACTTCCTTCATTGGTCCAGTTTATAACTCTTTACATTCAGTGTCTTTTTAATTTAAAGGCTGAATCTGACTAGGAAGTGAAAAGACTGCTTCTCTAGCTAATCAGTTTCAGAATTGCACCCAGAAGCACAAGGAGAACTTGATGAGAGATTGTTTGGTTTCATTGTAATCACCAAGGCTGCCTCTCCTTGCATTTCTTTCCAGCAGGGAGCTAGGAAAAAGATTGTTAGGAAGGGTCTGTGAACTTTAAAGTGGCAGGTCAATAAATGAAAACGATTGTCCTTTGGATCACCCAGCAGGCAGTGAGATGAAGGAAGAGCTGTGATGAAGAAGCGCACAGCAAGATCCTTGCTCCTCTAAACAGGAGCAAGTTCCCCACTTTCTTCCTGTTCCTAGACTCGCTGAATTTCAAACAGCTTTACATCAGTGTCGTACCAGATGGGAGGATCCACATTCCTAAAGGAAAAAAGATGTTAATTTTACTCAGTGTAACATAAACCTAGTTTCTCCACATAAGACAGTCACAATGCTTCCAGCATTCTAATACATTTACAAGCAAAATGTAAATGATACAACCCAAAGACACAGAAGGTCAAACTATTTTGATACTATTTATAGTCCTCCCCACAAAGTTTTCCCCCTCAAAGCTGATTAAACCCTTCAAATACTTTCGTAATCTATAGGCCAGAGACCTTTATTACAAGCAGAACTTTATCATATCCACGCAAGCTACACTGGAACAATTAGAAGAACAGAAGAGCAGCTTTAGTTCAAAGCCAAGGCCTATCTAGTCTATTTGCCCAATAATCTACCAGGTGCCTGTAGAAAAGCCTCAGTGGCACCCTTCTACTTGTATACCCCAGCAACCAGTATTCAGAGATGTATCAGCTCCAGGAAACTTTCCTACATTGGAATTGTCCACAATGCTCAGTACTAAAGTATTATAACCATTGCAGGATCACCTACTGTAAGCATTCTTATGTTATCCAGAATAGATAACTGTGTTGTGCTATCTGGTTAGAACCTATTAAGCTTCATTTGTGAAGGGAAAATCTACCTATCTCAATCTTCCATAGCATGGAGGTGGGTTGAAAAATATACATGAGATGGCAAGAGATAAAAGAAGAATTATCCACAATTATTACATAATAATTGCATTCAAAAGGAACTGTTCAATTAAAGATGCCTTGTCCATGGATTTGCTTGCTCTACTTGTTCTTGACTCTTTTCAGATTTGCACAGCCTAAAAATATGGACGAGATTCTTGGCAGTGTGAGGCTGTCCACTTGTACTCTTGACCCTGATCAAAACAGCCAGAGATAGATTGGCTAGGTGGGTGGAGGGCAGTATAAATGCTTCCTTGCAGCAGGATGACATGCCAAAAATTTTGAAAGAAATACTGAAAAGCCTCTTGAAGAACAACCCTCTTTAGACTCATCATTTTAGATAATTATTGCCCGTAATTAATGTTCAAATTATAGATGGGATGCCAGAGCATACAGGAGTGACTCGACTTCAGACGTTCTTGAATGAAGGCAGAACTGCATAGAATAGGTGTGAGTTTGTGTAGTGTCTGACTCTGCTGGATCTCTTAACAATGTTTGATACCATCAACCACTATATCCTTTTTTTTATTATTTTATACCACCTTTGTGAAAAGCAATTATGTTTCTTAAAAAAAAAAACAGCACAAACACTTTCCATTATTAAAAAGGCCTCCTGATGTAAAACTGCTGTTGGCTTTTTCTCTGAGTGGCTCTGACAATTTACGAAAGATTTTGTTCAAAGAAAACTCCACAGAGGTGGCACACACTCTGCAATCTTTGTTGCTGTTTTAGGGGATGGTGGGGGATGCTAATTATGGATGCTACTCTTCCAGCCTAAACTTAGCCAGGAGAGGGAGGTGGTCACAGGAGTTGGTTTCATTGGGAAGCCCTTTGACTGCCTGCAGAGCTTGCTCATCAGCGCCAATCTGCCAAGATGATTCAGGCCCCCATCGAATATGAGGCTGGCTCCTTGGCCTCCATGTCCTGTGCTGCAGAGCAGAAGATGTAATCCACAGTGATTGCACTTCTAGAGTGTCACGTTGTTACTTCTGGGATGCTGCTGCCAGGCAAATAGTGAAAGTAGACAAAAGACAACCGAAAACTGTGGTGCAAATTTGCGGGTAACCCTTTTTTTAACTATTACCATCTCCTCTGAATTTTCCAAGCTTGCTTCTTTGGTGTCTTGTCTTTCTCTCTCTTTTTCAAGTTGCTTCTGCTGTTCCTCGTACATGCAGTCCTGAGAAATGCCAAGGCTTTGAGGCCAAATGGGGATAGTGAGTATCATATTGCCCATGGGGACTTTTCCCATTGCCAGTCCTTCGCAATTCAGCTGCCCTCCCCTTAAGAAATTGTACAGTGGGAAGTGAGGGACCACCACAGAGGATAAGGGGAGAGCAGTGCCCATCTTCCCGAAGAGCAATGTTGGTCACTTCTGCCAGCATCATGGTGACCTGGGAGAGTTTAATGTCTCCACATCTCGGATTGTACAACAGATGTATACTGGACACACAGATGGTGGTGGTGGCCTTGCAGGAAAAAATGAGACTGCAGGAGCAAGACCAGGCCTACATTATCCCTGTCCAAAAATGGGATGTTGCAACAGGAATTCCACTGGGTTGGACAAGAGCAGATTCAACTTGGATCACACATGGCACAGCCATCAGACTTCCTTCCTGTCCTCATCTTGCACTCACAATGATAACCTAAGGCTTCCAAACTTGGCTTGATCTCTATTCCATACTGGTCTTCCTGTACCTCTTGCAAACAAAGTATATCAGCATCCAGCTGATTGATGTCCTTGAGAATGCTAGGAAAGCGATAGCTCCGAGCTAGTATATGCTGCCGGCAGTGTTTATACAGGTGAGTTGTCTGCTAAAAGGTCCTGAAAAAGGATGTTGTATGACATCACAGTGAAATCAAACTTTCCTTTTGTCTCTGGTGCTGTCCTGGCTGATCTGTTCCACATCTCTGAGGATCTTCCTTTTTTTACTTTGTTGACAAAAACATTCCCAGTGTCTTTTGATCAAACCTCTAGGTTTGGGACTGCCTTCTGCTTCAGATTTTGTTGGAGGAGGTGAAGGCGTTTCATTTGAAGAAGAGCTGCTTTGCTTTTCAAATTAAAGCAACTGAAGTCCCAGCTCCCACTGTGTCTCCTTTATTTTAAAGATGGTTCACCTTCATCTTCACTGTGCAGAGTTGAAAGAAATGGTTTTGTACAAGGTTAGGAAGCTGCCAGTTCCAGAAAAGAGGAATTCTCCAGCAAACCAGGTAATCCCAAGGGGTCAAATGTGGAGAACATGTCCAAAGGTAGTATTTAACATATTTCATGCACCAAAAAGCTTGACCACTTTGAAATCTTGAAGCAAGATTCCAGTGGGAAACTCATTCTTTACCCAGCCTCTGTACAAGGTGGGCTAGCATGGGATATCTTGAAATGAAACCACATTAATGAAGCTCCTTTATAAGAAAAGGACATATGGGAAAATGTCTAAGATTTAATTTGATGGCATGTGCAAAAGGATTTATATGTGCTTATTTATTCATATAAAAGAGCTGTAACCAGCCTTTCAGGCAAACTGTCCACACAAGACAGTTTATAATATTACAGTAACACAAATGTACAAATTACTAGTAAACACATACGTAGTAAGTAGCAACAGTTAATAGTCTTTTCTCTTTTTTTCCTTTATTTTCTTAACATATATAGATGCATAGAAGAAAATGTAGAACAGAAAAAACTGTATCCTCCTTAACCACCCCATTTACTAGATTTGTTGTTGATCTGTACCATTTTGGGCCGAATTGCATGTTACATTAGCCACACAGTTATGGTCTTGAGAGCATTTTCCCAAACATCAATTGCCAGCATGCTTTCTGAAATCTAAATCAGGACTCTAGCTTGAAGGACAGTGCACATGAATCCTCCCTAGCCCCACAACAGTTCCAAAAAGGACAATCGGAAATTTTATAACAATACAAATTATTGATGCAGGGGTTCAAGTAGGACTGGAGATACAGAGGAGACTAGGTGGTTAGGAAACCCTAACCACCACCCCAACCCAGGGTTCGATTCAGATTGGGGACCCCATACTGGCCATTTGTTGAAGACAAGCTACACCCAAGGCCAGAACCATGCATGTGAAGTAACATGTAGTTTGGGAGGACTATTATCTTTTTCACAGTTGTTCCATATTTAATTTTATTGGATTTTTTCAAATCTTATTCTTTACTATAACCTTTTAGACAGAGAGGTGGCCTATATATTTTAATAGAAATGAATTATTTATATTAAATTATTAATGTAATACCATTATGGCTGGAAAAATGAATAAGGCAACTTGATTCATTAGGGAATTTCCTGTATACTTAAAAGATTTTACTAGTGTTTAACTTAAATTTACCTTCTGGTAATTTAAATCCAATGCTTCAAACAGACCTGGTAAAAAACCACCTTCTTTCTATTTCCAATATATAAATAATCAGTTTTTCAAATGTTGTTTTCAAATGTTTTAAGCCAAATCTAGTAACGTTTTACAATGCCTTGTGCATTTCTTGCTTAAAGTAAAACGTTCTGAGATAAGAGCCAGTGCAGCATAGTGGCTGAAGCATCGGACTGGGACTTAGGATATCTGGGTTCTTGGGTCCACTCTCCATGAAGCTCACTTGTTGGTCTTGGGTTGGTCATGGACACATACTCTAAGCTACCTTACAAGGCTGCTGTGAGGATAAGATGGACAGGAAAAAGAGGATTATGCAAACCACCTTGGGCTTCTTGCAGGAAAAAAGGCTGGATACCAATAAAATATTCTACATACAGAGAATCTGTCAACAGAGCTCTTATTATTTTAAACCAAGTCTTATCATGAGAAGTTCAGCACCAATGGATTGAAGCTTATCATGAATATGTCAACTGCATGTATGTGATCTGAATTAGCTGCATCCTTGCAGCGTGAAGTATGATTTCAGCCATTCCTTCTGACTCCTCAAATGTGCTGCTTGGCAAGGAAAATATAATTGAATTGTGTCAACAGACTTACCTCAAGTAGATAACCCCCCACATGTAGGTACGAAACCACATAGCAGTACCAGAGTTAGCCTGGTATTTACGGATCAGGATGGGATGAGGGACGGGGAGCAGCCCCACCAGTGTGCCATGCTGCAAGAATTTCAGAATCTCAGACTCATCTGTGAGGCCCCTGCAGACAGAGGGAACACAAGGTCTCATATCTTAAACTGACTCTGCTGCTCTAGCACAAATAAGCAACAAAAAACCCAGTATTTTCTTTTATTAATACCCATACATCCCTCCCATAAAGTATAAACAAGAGAGTAAGAGTCTACAGCATGTATGAATGTCTAGAGACCACAAGGAACATCATCCTGATGCTTAAAACATGCATGAATCTTTAACAATCTTGACTATTTATCACTGAATGCAGCATTATTTATGCTCCAACACTTTCCCAAGAAATCCACAGTGGCTCTTTGGCTCTTGTTCAGAAAAATGAGCAGAGAGTGATTCCTGATCCCTGCAATAATGGTAACTATAGAAGCCTGTTAAGGAAATCAGTGTCAATTTACAGCTTCCTAAATGGTACAGCTTCCTAAATTGGCTCCCTAACAGGGAAATCCATTCAGCCTTACAACCTCCCCAAAATAGGAGACTTAAGGCACTTACTTATCAATGCAAATCTTCTCTACCTGGGGGACAAGGACTTGTAACAGCCGCATGATTGTCTGTAAGGGCAGTTTTGATTTCCAAGATACCACCTGCAAAGGAAAACAGTAACAGGTAAAATCAGTGCCTTTGAACAATTCAGACAGGGAAGACAAAGTCATTCAGAATATACCAAGTATTCTGATTTAGGTAGCCTTGCACATGAAACAAGGGTAATCACACCATTACTAGAAATCCCATGAGAGATACTAGGATAGTTTCCCTAGCTTCTCAATATAAAGGTAAGGGCACACAACTACAGTCAAATTCTTCGAGTCAAAACAAATTATTTCCAGCTCTATAAGAAAATTCATCTTCTGCTGCCACGGGGCTCATTGCTCATTGATAAAGGATGTCTATGAAATGAATCTGTGTTCTGTTTTGCATATGAGAACGAACTCTCTCAACTTAAGCACCCAAGCTAGGTTTCAAAAAGAAAACTGTTATCTGAGCCTTTCTTGGGCATTCTCTGTGCTCCTCTGCAGGGAAAAGAGAGGCACAAGTGACAGTAAGGAGAAATTCACCTATCAATTCAAATTAAAACACCGCAATCCTGCCACTCAGACTGACAAAATAATAACTTAGAATAATAATTCAGCAGGCACTGAACTGGGGCTGTTGTGGGTCAATTAGAATTCAAGAAACAGTCACAGATCAAGAAAGTTCTCTGTGTCTCTGAGCAGATGCACATCCTGATTCCTTTTATAGTATGCATGGCAGAAGGGAGATGTGTGCTGCTACCCAGGGAACTGAGCAAAGAACTGTGAGCAAGAGTTACATCTTTCAGCACTCATAATGGACCATTGTGGGTTTTGATTCCCACATCATTGCTCTCTTCATTGCTCAATGAAGTGAGGTGCGTAATGAACTTTGCACATATTGTAAGAATTATTAATATCAACATTATTAATAGTTAGCAACTGTTCCCAGACTTTCTCACCCATTCAGGAGTTGGATTCCACTGCCCAGTTGAGGACATGCTGGACAGACGCCGTCGATCCCGTTTGGGTTGTGAGGATTCCTAAGCAGAAGACACAAGCACATTGCATATTCATTCCTCTGCACACCACTGCTACCTAGCCAATTCAAATATTATTTAGTTGAGGGTTAAGAGAAAAGATAGAAAGACTAGTATGTGATTGCAAAATAGACACGAGGAAACAAATACAAAGAAGGCCCAAATTACAACTGTGTGGAGGTTTCTTTTCCAACATACTATTTTCATTCATTCATTCTTGCAGCAGCAGGAGTGGTGCTTTTCATATTTAGAATTAACACTGCAAGATTAAGGTGAAGAAATCTAGAAGATATGTCTAGATATGTCTATCATAGATCTGTTTATTGATTACACAGATTACTATGAGATTAAATTGCCTACTAGGAGATTGTCAGTCCATAAAGTCTTGTCCTCAGGTCTGAAGATATCTTGTTCAACTTTGCACTAAGTCTCTATAACAGCACCTCAGTAGGACAAAGCTATACTATAGCATAGGGATGTACCATGGGTGAGAAACCCAGCTCCTTTGAGCTCAACGGATTTCCTGCCTGCTTCTGATCTGAAGAGGGCTGAGTCACATTTCTCATGGATATCCATCTGTAACAGAGACCATGATTTGCACCCCTTTAAAAATGCTAAGACAATTAACACAAATCACATGATTTGTGTAATTTGGATGCCGAAAACTACATTGTTCTAGCACAATTTGTGCAAATCGCACTAGAATTACATAGTTTGGGGCTTCCAGTGTGTCAAAATAGCGCTATAATGATATAGTTTACGGATTCCACTTGCACAAATTGCATTAGCCCAAGTATAATTTGTAAAAAATGTTCTTATCAGTTTTTTGACAAATGTGAAAATCACATTTCCTCTTAGAACCTGAAGTCTTCAAGCTGGCTCAACTTGTACTACAGTGAGTTGGCACAAGGACAGAACTGGCAAAATGGGACTAGGCAAAATAATGAAAATGCACTGGACTTTTACCCCCTTGTCTGATTCCTCACACATCACTAATTTAGCACCCATATCCAGTCACAGTAAGATGGGTAGTTACAGAAACCCCTCACTGATATAATTCATCTTCAGAAATATTCAACTAAGCTCTAAATCTACAGAGTTTTAATGCTGTTTATCTAGGAAGCAAATAAGACAATGAACTAAGTGTTCACTGACTTTACTGCCTCCAGAATTTATTGATTGATACTATAAAGCGATAACATGATCATACATTATTTACAATTACAGCAATTGTATGGTTTGTAGGCTCAGAGATTAGTAGCAACTCTCCCCCACAATAAAATTTCTAAAAATAAATCCATAAAAATACCAGCTTTGGGCCCTACTCATGTCCTATCCCCTCTTCAGAGTATGAGAACCTACCAGATGACACATTCAAAGGTTACTACAGCATAATTTGATTCTATCTATGCAGCAATGAATCACAAAGACATACTTGTTAGATGTCCCCACTGATAAGGAAAAATCAGTTGAGTTTAGCCCTTTGGTCTGAGGCTCCATGACTTCTCTGCAGATGAGAAAGCCACAGCATAAACAAGACGCTAAATGGTTACATGTATCATGTGCCTCCAAACTTATTCTGAATTACTTCACGTTCACCACAGCACTAGAGAGTGTTTCAGATCATTCAACACCAGCATTCTGAACATGCAAACCCTAGTCACCTCTGAGCTGCTAGCATACAGCCTTACTTACCCCACTCCAAGATTCTGGATCATTGACAATGCCTGGGGGACTGCCTTCTGCTGAAGACTGTGAGGACTCTGGCTCTAGGGAACGCATTGTGCCATCCTCTGACACTTGGGATTTCTCTGTGAGTTTGTCAATGCCTGGATTTTTGAGAGACACCATTAGGAGAAAACTGCGCAAGGCCTAAAGTGGAATCAACAACATGACTTAGACCAAAATATAAAATTCCCAGTGTTCATCTTTCTATACAGTCTATCCTGCCATTCTTTCTAGAGCAGAAAGCACTTCTTTCCGAGGAAGAATTCCTGGGAACTGAACATTCAACTTAGGCTCTAGGAAACTGTTCAGCTACTTTGCTTATTCCTGGATACCCAGCAGAAGTATCCATTCAATTGAACATAGATCAGTCCCCTTGACCGGTAACAGTTCCTTGTTGTCAACTTTGGACAAAGGTAATTTAAAAAATATTCTAGATTCTTCAACATGAACAATATTGTACATCTTTCTACAATGTAACCAGAAAAATTAAATATAAAATAAGGGACTCATGTAACAATGGTTACTTGCCATTTTATCTCACAGATTCTTTCCCTGAAAGAATCCAGAGCCTTCTCATTGTCCATCCAGAACAGCCATCAACAGCAGAACCACCATTATGAGCTGAATGTATTCACTCCTTATTTAAGGCTCTATCTGATAAACAGTTTAGACTGACCTGGAGTTGCTACTAAGCTGGCCTTCAGTGTGCCAGGCTCAGCAGGTGCAGCTGGTCGCGATCCTTCCATGGATATCCCTTCTTGAGAATTGGTGCGAGATATAGGTTCGGGAGCTTTCTTTTTGCGCTGCAAAGCTTTCTGGATGGACTGCAAGTCAGTAGGCAGATTGGCCAGCTGATGGAACACATTCCGCTTGCGAATAATGGCATACACCAAGTTAGAGTTGCCTAAAAAATTACAGCAAGAGGAGCAAAAGAAGGAAGGAAAGAAAGAAAGCACAACAGACAAATAAAATCTGCTTTTTTCCTTTGGGGATGAACAAGTCCTGCAAATGCACAAGATGCTGTGCCATGAGGCAGTAAGAAACTCCAGAGCACCTGTGTTCTTTACAGGCCAGCAGAAAAAACAGCATAAACACTTAAAAATATAGTTGGATTTTCATGCACAGGCAGGAACTTAACATCTTTCCCTGTTTTTCCATTATCTGAATTGTAAAAATAAATGCTGTCCCACAACCTAGAGTACAATTTTTGAGCAGTTACTTCTGTCAGCAACTAGTTCTACATCAGCCAGGTCACACAAGGATCACAGGCTGATGAAGAACAAACTGACACTGTTTGCACATAATAGAGCTATGGATTCTTGGGCATTATTTCAGAAGGAATTTCTAAAGAGAGCTCTGCTTGATTCTGCCAACAAATTACTTTAAAAATATAACAAAAGGAAGTGGGGGACTATTGTTCAAGATACAAACTTCAGATATGAGGGGTCTGACTATTAACTCGCTGAAACTTTGGTCTACCACCTACCTTTTAGCCTTAATTTCTAATTCATAATGTGATCACTACAGTTACTCAAATCAAAAAGTTTTGCACGAACAAGAGAACATGAGAAAACTACAAAATACACTAACATAAACAAAAGAAAAGCCATGCTGAATCAGACCAAAGGTTCATCTAGTCCAGCGCTCCATACACATGGTGGTAAATCAGCTGCCAGCAGGATCCCTCAAGCAGGATGGGTGCAACACCTCCTCCTGCCCAAGCCCATCAGCAGCTGATGTCTGCAGGCATGCTGCCTATACCAGAGGTATCTGGATGTCTGAGGCTTTGTTTGCCAATGCCTGAACGTGTAAGAGGTAGCACAAAGCCAGGAAGACTAGCAGCCATTAGTAACCTCTTCCTCCATTAACATCCAATCCCCTTTAAAGCCATTCAAATTGGCAGCCATCATCACTTCCATCATTTAACTATACATGAATGGGCCAATTCACATGATCACTGTGGCCCACCATACATAGTGTCCACAGTGCCCACCATATATAGTGCCTATATAAGGCCCACTGCCTTATATAGGTGACAGTGGGTTGTCACACATGCAGGAGGCCATTCTGAATATTCAAGCCCCAGTAGCAAGTGTCCTGGTTTGTTTTGTTATCTGAATCCAGGCAACAGGAATTGCTGAAGAGTCAAAAGCCCCTACAATAGATCATAGATTATTTGAGGGTTTTAAAAATCTCAAATAATTCCTGCTGCCTTAGTTTGGACAGATAAGCCACAGGCATCTCTTTAGTAGATAACATGGTGCCCATGGGCACCACAGCTTGTTATGGGTTAAATAAGCCATGGTGGACTGTGAAGACTATGCAAACCAAGTCATTATATATTAAATATTCCATAAATTAATAAACGAAAAGTGCTTAAAGACAATAGGTGTCTTTCAATTAGAAGCTGGAACGATCAAAAAGCTACAACTCTGGTGGTTGCAGTTTTTAAATTTTCTGCTGTTATTTTAAAAATGTGTGTGTGGGGAGATAGGACTAATTCATATAGTACAATCCAAGTAGTCCTCAAAACAGAGCTTCAGATATTCAGCTCAAATACCAGGGGAAGTCAGAGTCTACTGTTAGGGATAGGAAGTTTAGTAGGAGAAAGAAAAGAAACTTGCATCATTTCTATTATGTGTAATGGAGAATTACATTTCTTGGCATGCCTATTCTTGGCAAAAGCTATCAGAAAGACATACATCCAGTTTATCATTTAGCTACTCACCATCAAATTGATATTGGATGATATTGTTGAAAACCTCCAACAGAAAGAAAACAAGATGATGGTTCTGAACAGCGGAAAAGAGAAACCAAGTGGTAGAAAAGGCTTCCAACAGGTGCAACAGTTTGTTAGCAGCTACCATAGAAAGAGACTTCAAGTATGGAGATACTGGAGAAAGGAGCAATAAAAAGTAGAAATGGGAAAAAACAATTAGGGAAACCCAAAATTCCTGTACAATTGCTTATACAGCACCATCCGTGTACATGGCACTTTACTGAGTTTTACAAATAAGAAAAGTAATTGCCTCCCTGCATCACCATTGCAGGTAGATTACAATCCTAAATGATGACAGTGGGGAAGGCAACAGAGATATGGACAGCAAAGAATGAATAAGCACCACTAATGATTCTATGGACTATTTCCTCATAGTTAACAAAATCCTGAGTCCAATTCTCTTAAACAGCATCACACAGGTGAAGGTAGCAAATGCCATCTACTGCAGAGAAAGCAATACTACAGTACTTTACTTTGTCAGCCCACACAAAAATTTTAAAGAAATATATCTCATCAATATATTTCTCATTGACGTATCTCACTGATGGCACATCTCAAGTGAAACACAAGTGTGCACTCAAACAGCTGTCATCTAATATTTCCACCAAAAATTGCATTCATGGTAGTTACATCTAAACAAATACCAAAACAACAAAACACATACCCAAGCGACTTTGGGCAAGAAACTGAAGGACCTAAAGGCCCAAGTGGCCTTTGCCTCCATCTTGCCCGGCTGGGGATTTGGGCCAGGCAGGCAAAGGAGGGTTGTGAAGTTGAATGACTGGCTCAGGGTATGGTGTCAGAAGGAACACTTCAGATTCCTCAACCACGGCACCCAGTCTCTTGCCAGTAGATTTCTGGAAGGGGATGTGGCGCACCTCATGAGGATGGGGAAAAAGTCCTTCATAAAGGCTCTAGTGAGCTTCATCCAGGAAGCTTTAAACTGAGCTGGGGGGGGGGGCATTCAGGTCCCCCAGAAACTTGTCCTCATTGGACAAGTGAGGGGAAAGGATCAGGGAGTTGGGCCCAGGTGTTAGAGGCAGGGGCTGGCAGGACTCCTATGAAGAGGGGGCCAGTATCAGGGAAGATGGGAGGAAGGAGGAGGCTGGGGGACCCAAAGAAAGGGATCTGAGGGAAGGAGCTGAGATGCATGTATACCAATGCTAGGAGAATGGGTAATAAAGCAGGAAGAGCTTGAGGCTCTCCTTGAATAGAAGGGTATGACCTGATGGGGATCAAAGAAACTTGGTGGGATGAAAGGGCAAGGCTGGAATGCAAACAGAGTAGTATGTCCTGTTTAGAAAGGGCAGGAAGGGAAAGAGGGGAGAGGGCATAGTGTAGTATCCGGGGAAGAGATAGGATACACTGAGATAAGAGGGTGGCACACATGGGGATCCGGACCAAGACTTTCAAAGAATATCAGGTGCAACAAAAAGGGCTTCTATTAACATGTAAATAGCAAGAGGAAGGGGAGACAAGCAGTGGAACCGCTTATTAAGGAAGATGGGGATTTGGTGACTGATGTGAGGGAACAGGCACAGATGCTAAATGATTATTTTGCCTCTGTGTTATCTCAAAAGCAGGAGAGGGGAGATCTACATGGGGGCCTGGATGAGGTGGATGTGGTTTATCTGGATTTCAGCAACACCTTTGACAAAGTGCCCCAGGATATCCTGGTGGAGAAATTGAGGTACTTTGGGATAGACCAATGCACTGTCCAGTGGATTAGGGCATGGTTGACAGACTAAAAGCAGAGGGTAACTATTAGTGGGGAATCATCAGGATGGCAGCCAGTAACAAGTGGGGTCCCCCAGGGCTCTGTCCTGGGACTGATCCTGTTCAATCTTTTCATCAATGACCTGGAAGACGGGGTGACTAGTCTGCTGATCAAATTTGTAGATGATACTAAAATGGGAGCAGTGGCCATAACTGAGAAGCAGGTACTCCAGATCCAGAAGGATCCAGACAGACTATGGAAGTGAGCAGGGGATAACAGGATGGTGTTCAATGTGGATAAGTGCAAGGTCTTGCACTTGGGGCATAGGAATGGGTATCTTAAGTACAGGTTAAGGGACAAGTGGCTGGAGAGCAGCACTTGTGAAAGGGCTCTCAGGGTACTGGTTGACTGCAGGCTAAATGTGAGTCAGCGGTGTGATGCGGTGGTCAAGAGGGCAAATGCCACCCTCGGATGCATAGGCAGAAGCGTGGCTTCTAGATCGAGAGAGGTATTACTGCCACTCCATATGACTCCAAAGTGTCTGCAACTGGAATATTGTGTTCAATTCTGGGCTCCACATTATATGAAGGATATAGCCAGGTTGGAATCAGTGCAGCGTAGGGCCACAAGGATGGTGGGTGGATTGCAGGGAAACTGTATGAGGCAAGACCGAGGGAACTGGGTCTTTTCCGCCTGGAGGAGACTCCAAGGAGATCTCTTGGTGACATATAGGTACGTGAGGGGGTGCCACATGGAGGTATGTTTTCCTTTGTGAAGGGAGGGCAGGATGCATTCCAATGGAGCAAAGCTCAGGGAACCAAGGTTCAACTTGGATGCCAGGAAGCACTTCCTGACCGTTAGGACCCCGAGAGTGTGGAATGGGCTTCCACGGGAGGTGGTTCAGGCCCCATTGGTGAGGGTGTTAAAAGACAGGCTGGACATGCACATGGTAGCCATGTCATGAGTGGAGCTGGCTGGAGCCAAGGGGGCCCCGGAAGCCCCTTCTGACTCGCTCTGTTTCTATGTTTCTACGTAACTACAGAGAAGACTTCCAGATGAGATGGCATCTGCATGAGTTCTCTGTACTTGCTCCGGCCAAGAAAATGCTGCTGCACTGTTCACTACCAGCATATTTTAATAGTATTTAATTTAATTGTACTTAAACTAATACAAATCTGAATAGTTAGACCAGAATGTCACCACAATTCAGGCAGCTTACCATTCACAATGATGGTAAGAAGGCAGTCAAAAAGGGGCTGCAGCCGCTGGTGCCCACTGGTGATGATCTTGTGAAAGACCTGGAACATGGAATGGAAGTGACAAAATTAACAAGAGAGTTACCACATTACAATTTGGAAACAGGCTACAACAGGTCTTTGTCATCATCAGGAGGCACACTACCGATGGGAATGTATGTTCCTAAGGTTCACCACAGAAGAACTTGTGATAAGGTATTTAGCTTTGCAGCGCCCACCCTCTGGAATGCACTCCCTAGTAAAACCAGTCAGACATCCAAGTTTGGATTTTCAGACACCTGCTTAAGGCCTACCATGTTAGCAAGCTTTCCCTGAGGTAGGATCCAGCCAGTATAACAATACTGTTACTTACTAGTGTTTTTAATTAGATTTTATTTTGTCTTATAATTTTCATTTGATAATGTTATTGAGGAGCCACACCAAAATGAGTATACAAAGGGTTAGTTTAATTCGGGAAGTGTGAGGAACCTGTTTGGGGTAGGAACAGCTTCGCTGTAGGGGCTCCAGGCCACTTTGCAGCAGCCCTGAGTCCACACTGCTGGCAAGCGCGCCCAGTGCTCGTGGGGCACTTGCCAGGAAACAAGCTTCATGCACTGTGCAAGCAAAGCCCGAAAGCTGCTACAAGTGGCATGGAAGAGGGAGCGGCTGGTGATGTCATGTGGCTCCATTCCTGGAAAGCCTTGAGCAACTGGTAGCAGTGTCCCTCTTCTGTGCCACATGGGGCAGCTGTCTGGGTTGCTACTTCTGACTCAGAAGAAGGCTGGTCGCATGGGGCTCATCAGGAATGTCCCTTTTCACACCACCTGCAGTAGCCTCTGTGCTGCTGCACCTGATGTGGAAGAAGGCTGCCAGTTGTGCAATCTTTGTTCCACAAGGATTTGCAGACTTCCTCTTGGCTCAGTTTGCTGTGCAAGACCAGGTCAAGCAAGAGAGGAAGTGTGCAAATACTAGAGGGATAAATTCCACTAAGATTTCTCCCGGGCTTATTCAGTCTATCATGAAGCAGGGAATATATTTCTTGCCCACATCTCCCAAAATGTACTTTCCTGAACAGCAAAGTACAGGCATTGCCAGCAGTTGCCACACTCACAATGATGAGAAGATCTGCATGCGTTCCTGTAAATACAGGAATATCCATTGGTACTCGTACAGAATATGGTTTATTCAGGCGAACACCAAAATTTCTCTCCCCACTCAGCAGCAACAGGATGAAGACACCAATGTGCATAAGCCCAACTCTAGCTGCAAAAAGAACAACAATGATGAAACTCAGTCACAAAATTGACCAAAGGAAGCAACATGAATTTAAAAATCAAACAATATCATGAAAACAGAGCATAAAAGTATTTCCTGAAAATGGACACCACTGTTCAGCATAGTAGCCCAAAGAAAAGAAAAAGCAGGAAAGGCAAAGAGAAAAGAAAAGAAAAGCTAATGAGTGAACTACTCAGTCTTGCTGCTAGACACCCAAGTAGTTGTATATCAAGGGACAGCATATGTTGGTTTATTCTCATTGCAAGCAGCATGATAATATACATTAAAAATGGTACTGAAAGTGTGGACTGAGGACCATACCAGCCATATTTAGAAATTTCTTATCTGTTTTTCATTATGAATAATCCCAGTGTGAATACAAACAATAACATTTGGTAAAATACACTATTGGCAAAAACATAAACCAACTGGGGAGAACAGTAACTGATAAATAACACAAGTTTGCAAAAAAAAAAAAAAAGGATTAAATCAGCACAGGTAAGCAAATAGGTTGTTAGTAGGTGCTGAAAGTTTTTAAGACCTGGCACCACATATATGAGTGGGGAGGGAGGTTTACATCCAGAGGGCCCGTATAAAAAAATGTGTGTACAAGTTTCCCCTGTTCATATAAAGCACGGGATTCATAGGCTTCAAAAGACTCATAGCTGGAAGAAGCTAAGCTCCCTCCTGCCTCACTGCACTGCACTCTTTTAACTGAAGTACTTCTGCATCCCAGCTCCACTGCTAGAAGTGAGCCAAGCTGACAATATACTTGAAAAAACTAAGAGCAACAAGGTAAGGTGAAAGAGGGTTTAGCACTTCTTACTTGTACAGTTTGTTTAATGTTATGGAGAGAAAAGATAGATGCACCTTTGGTCCTTATTTTACTCCAGACCAGAAGAGACATATAAATAAATGCACTGATCAGTTGCCCATAACTGATCTACTTCAGCCCCAACTTAGAGCTCTTGCTTCCATTTTGGCCATCTAGAAGTGCTGAAATAATTATGAGTGATTTCATGAAGAGACAACAAACAATTCATGGTTGCCATTTGGTTATGTTTAGCTTGGCCTCTGGAGTTTATGAACTAAAGTTACCCAACACAAGCAACCTCTTTGACATATCCTTAATGCAACACATTCAGCTTTTTGTTTTTCAGCCATACCTTTTGAGTTCCCAGATCACAGTTAGCAGTGAGCAGTACTGGGGTACAGCAGGTGTGATCACATACAATTTTACTAATTAGTGGGAGCCTGGGGAAGACTATCTGTGAAGGCACCTACAGCTTTCTGCAAATTTCTGGCTTCTTGTTCTTTCTCAAAAGCTAGGTGACTTCAGCCTAGCTACAGTTACATCTGTGGAGTCATTCCCATTGTGAGGAGACAGCCAATCAGAATGATTGCCTAGGTATACAAGCAAACTTTGTCAACCCACATTTGAGAACTCACATTGATCCGCTCTGGCATCATTAAGGAAGTAGAGAATTGGCACCAGGATGTCTAGGACATCACTACTCTTCAGCACAAAAAAGAGAAATTTCTGAAATAAAGAGAGAAGATTTCAGCCCCTTCTTGTCTGAAGTGTCAGGAGCAAACTTAGGGGCCTGACAAAATCAAGTTGCTATCCCCATGAAGTTGGATCAATACAATAAAGAAAGAAAACTATGCAAGCCGTGCCTACTAGCTATACAGTGACTTCATATTTCATAATATGCCTCACAAGGAGCCCAGATGAGAGATTAGCAGGGAAAAAATCAGAAGATGAAGGCAGCAATCCCACATACACTAAACTGGGAATAACTCAATGGGTCATTTCTGAGTAGACACAGATAGGATTGTAATGTTAGTCCTATGCTTAAGTTAAATGTCTTAAACAAAAAACCCCCCCGTGCTCTGCAAATTATTTTTTCTCTGATATTAAGAAATTTGTGGCCAGATGGAACAAAATTGCAGGCCATTTTTATAGATTACTTTCAAATGGAGGTTTCTCAGATGTTCACATTCAGCATGCTTGACATAAAAACTAGGCTGAGACCCGGACAAGTCTAGTCAAGAGATTAGCAGCATCAGGAAGGGTGGCAATGTCCCAAACCAGAGCATGAGAGGTCTGTACTGATACTTCTTTCCTTCAGCAACCCCTAGAGCCTTTCCATTTAGTGCTACAATGTTAAACCAGCTATAGGTAAAATCATCATCTGGACAAGACACAGTAACTAAGGACTTCCCCACACAAGGCCTTTAGTGTGCTCTCGTGATCCTGCACTTACAGAACGTTTCAGCACCTTTTCACAATGCTTTCATCCTCCAGAGCCTCCCCCATGTCTTAAAGTCTGGCAATAAATTTCCAGTTGCAACAAACTGGAACAAAAGCCTCATGAGAAGTCACACATCTGCCACAGTGTGCATATGCCACCACATCACCTTGTGGTTGGTTAACAGGATATATAGAAAGGCAGAGGAATACAACTTCCTTGGGAGGAAAAATGGGTACAGGTCACACTTCTCTCACATTAAAAAATGGAGGAAGCCACCTCAGTAAAGCAGCAGGATAAACGCCTCATGTAGAGAAGCCCTGAGATTATCCATTGCTACCCCATACTCCATTTCACCAGGTGCAGATCTCTCTTCCCTTTTCCCCACCCCACTGATTCTTTAGTAGTACAAGGCAAATATGCACCTTGTTGAAATCACAAAGTTTCCAGAAGAGAACCAGGAGCTCCTGATGGAACTGGATCTTTTTGGTAGAGTTTGGCAGGTAGGTTTGGACCAACGGATTGGAGAGTAAACGAGCCACTCCTTTCAGAATGAACTGGAAATCCTGCCAGCATAGAGAATATAAATGGAACACACAGAATGAGGATCCTGGGACTTAGTGAAGGACAATATATATAAGCTTTAAATAAATAAATCAGAAGCGGTCAAAAGGCAAACTGAACACGTTACCTCTTCTCTGTGTATCCTAGACAGGTAATTGACAAACAGGTTGTCTGGTCCTGGAGGCTGCATCAAAAAAGGGGGGGTGAGTAAGTACTTCTTAACATTTACTTTGTTACACTAAACATACCATAAGGGCATACATTGCATATATGAAGTTCTATTAATTATCTGACAGGTGACATTTCACCACAATCATCAGACAATTCTGATTGTCAAGGGTCTGATTGTAATGGGCACTTTGTCTCCGGAAATCAAGAAAAAGAAATAATTCACAGTCCAGAAGTCACACATAGGAGGTAAATTAAAATTATAAATTAAATTTGTATTTTAATTCTGGGGTGCTGGGAAGAAAGCTGAATTTCCTTTAATCTTTCATACATATTCCAAAGAAAAATACAACTTCCTTTCTTCTTCAGCCTAATTATAAACCGAAGACTCTGTGGAATATACAACCAACCTAATCACTCTCAAAAAAAATTCCTGCCTCCTACATTTCCTATAGTACCCACAAATATTGAGAGCCAGCATGGTGTAGTGATTAAGAGCCTGGGACCGGGACTCAGGCGATCTGGGTTCTAGTCCCCACTCGGCCATGGAGCCAACTGGGCGACTTTGGGCCAGTCACAGACACTCAGCCCAACCTACCTCACAGGGTTGTTGTTGTGGGGATAAGATGGAGGAGGAGAATGATGTAAGCTGCCTTGAGCCCTTTGTAGGGAAAAGGCAGGATATAAATCGGAAAATAAATAAATAAAATAAAAAATTGCAAAAATTCTATGACAATTCTACAGTCTGAATGATGTTCGTTCTTACATGCCATCAGTGGATTTGGTACCTTACAAAGTTAAACAGCTGAAATAGACAAGTCCCTCTCCCAAGAACTTTGCAAAAATGAACAATGGGGAAAATGGAAGCAAGTATACTATTGCCCATTTGGTTTTTGTTCTATAAACCTATGGAATATACTACTACACAATTTGGAATGATGTAAGAAAAATTCTATGAATAGTAAATTTGCTTGCCCAATTCAATCAACTAGGGACAAATAATGTCCAGAGTAGAATTGGTTCCTGAGTGATACAAACACTTCATTTTCTAGAAGTCAGCAGCAAGGTGGATGAATATTACAAGAAAAAATACCTTCTGAGGATGCAAACTACATCACTGCTGCTGACAAAAGTCAATGTTTCCAGGTGATTCTTTAGCATCAATAAACTGTATTAAGTAAGGCATTCTGCGAACTCTAAAAAAATAACTCTCACACAGCAGTATTGAGTAGAGACATTCCAACTGAAAGCATACGAACTTTAAATCTCCATACTAAGTTTTCTGCTCAGACATCAGTGAAGGGAAGCAGCTCTGCCAAGTTGGAAAGCTGACATGCTCTTGCAAACAAAAGTTGTTCCTAAAGACTGTATTAACTCAGCTAAACCTGACCACTTCAAATTCTGCAAGAAGAAATTGAAGATTTCTGTAATGTATTCATAAACATTGAAGCTGCTTCTAGACAAGGCTTTCATCCCACCATCATCCTTCCTCATTCATGCAATTTTAATACCGGGTCCAGACAATGCTGCCTTCCACCTCTAACCCTTGAATGTTTTCCCACCTGTTTCTTCTTTTACCTACTAAAAAGATTATTAAGGGAGGCACCCTCAAATAGCTGCCCAATGCCTTTTGATAAATAGCACTGCATGCTCTCCATCTGGAAGCATCCTCAAACTCAAGAGTAAACTACACAGTACACACATGGATGTCAAGCTCCAATGTGCTTAAGAAAAGCAACTGGGGGTAGGGCACAGTTTAACACTTTCCTGATTTTTATTTTTTTCAGCTGAAATCGTACAACTACCTTCCACCCTGATGGAGTTCCAGAAGTTTACTCAGGCTTGTACACACACACAAAATCTGGGATCCCACATGGGAAGAACATTTAGGGAGAGGTGATTCAATGTAGAAAAAAATGACAGTTGAGAAAAAGATTTTGCTTCCTTTTCCTGCTCATCCAAAGCTATTTTTCATTCAAGAAAATCAGCACTGGAGCTTTGGTAAAGACTTCTCCATAGAGCATGTAGTTTGTCACACAGAACCAAGAATGATACAAATTCTTGTAGCACCTTAAAGAATAACACACATATTCTGACATAACCTTCATGCAATATTCTCCACAGAACTCCTAAACCAGGAAAGTTTACAGGATGACAGCTGAAAGCTTCTTAAGGTTGGAAAATGAACACAAGTGAATACCAAAAAGAGTGTTCCAGTTCAAAGATTAGTTATGTCAGCAGATGGCTACAACTACTAAAGGTTAGAATGCTCCTTTTGGGTAGTTTAAGATGGGACAGCTAACAGTCAAAAGGTATTGCACACCTATTTCATCTTTTTCCATCCTACTTAATGTACTTGTATATTAAAAAAAAAACCAGAAACAGAAGTGGGAAAACAGAAGGCATTACAAGTGGAAAATAAAAATGATTGGATCCTCTCCCATAACATTAAGTTAATGAAGGAGGGCAATTGCATGATAAAGCCTCATCTGGAAGCACCCATTCTCCCCAAGGTCTCTGCTCATCAAAGAGGATGGGATACCTTTCCAACATGCAATTCAGGTAGCAAGAAGGCAGAAGGAAATCAATATAGTCACTTCTGTTAGAAATGCAGTATGCAAAAAAACCCAAAGTGAACTAGCTGTCATGCATGTTAACAATGGATAAAGATTCAGAACTAGTCAGTTCAGCACTAAGAAGGTATGCATGCATCCCTGACCTCTCAGGATGCCGGTGATCTTATCATAGATTCAACAAATGGTGGAGGAAGAGAGAAGATGACTGCTACTTAAACATCAATCTTCCCACAAGCAGCAATTTATACTGTGGTGAATTTATAACTAATCTTTACTTTGCAGCCTTCAGAACAGACAAATTTTGTTTCCCTGCTAGCTCAAAGATTCCATTTAGCATTGTCCAAATGTGGTAAACAAACATGTTTGGAATCTGGGGTCCAGTATATGAGAGTTCAGCACCTGCTCCCCAAACTGCTTATCTATACCGATTTCTCTCTCACACACCCCCAGAGCTACTTTCCTTTAGAATGGCTTGTTCAAGTGTGTTATACAAACTTCATGCAACATGTGTTGTTGCCCTAACACACCTATAGATGTTGGGCACCAGCTTTGTTATGTATCAGAGTTACGTAGAACATGGAACATGATATGGTGACTCCTATCCTTGGAGCTGTAACCTCAGAAACTGGTGCATAGGAATTTCTCTCTGACAGCATGACCATTGGCCTGTGGTGTAGCTGATTTAGTTTTAAATCACTGCCTGATGTCAGTAATAGAACTTTTTCCCAAAAGTTATTTCTTTGGGCTTCATGGAGCGCAAGAGGGTGACTCAGTTTGCTGATTTGTGTGACAGGCAAGTTTGATTTCTCCACAAGGCCACTCGGTCCAAGCAGAACTGACTGAATGGTTGAGGCAGAAAATGAGATTAGTTATTGATTTTTGTACTATGCATTGCTTCTCTTTTTAAAACAGTTCATAGGTGATGAGTAAACATTTTGCATTGGGTGAAAGAGATACCAGTCATATTTGGGAGTGAGACAGTCTAAACTAATTGAATTCAATATTTAGAAGAGTTTTATGCTAGAAGTTGGTAGTTGGTTATCTACTGGAATAGCCCTTCAAACTTTCCACAGGCTCAAGTAAGGCCCTCCCATACCAGGTCTCCTGAGTCACCTGGGCAGAAATAAAAGCTCTCATGGTGGCATCATAACCATCAGCCAGGCCATCAGATATCAATTCTCTGTGGATCTAAGCAGTAAATGAGATTATTGTCATGATAACACATACAGAAAATAATAAAAACTGGAACACCAATGGTCTGGCTGGAGATTAATTATATATACGAGTATTTCTCTAGAAAGGAACACCAAACTTAACATGACTTCCCACCATTCATTCATCAGTACTAAAACTGCAGCTAAATCTGGGAGCAACTCACATCTGCATCATCCATGGCTGTTCCAGTAGTAGTGCCATCTACAGTGGGGCTGGAGCTTGTGGAAGTGTCATAGTCCAATGTGACTATCAGGACTTGGGCGGCCTGCTCCACCAGGGGTTCACGATAGTCCGAGAACAGCAAGTGGTTATAAGGGATCCCATAGCCCACTGGATCATAAGCACAGACGATATTCAAGAGGGAAGTGAACAGTGGTAGTGCATGCCTGAAAGATGATCCAACATGCTCAAAACGATGCACTAGAAAATGCATTTTAATGCTAAAAGCTTTCCAGAGAAAACCAGACTTTCAACAAGATATGCATTCCATTAGCACTGATCCAGTACCATGTGCAAGAGCAGCCAATATCTATGTGTGTCTCAAAGGCCACACAAGTTAGTAAAAAAGAAACAGGCAGTTCTTCCCAGGAATTGTTTTGATTGTTTTGGATAATTCTTTCTAACCATTTAGATAAATGAAGTAAAATTCCTTATGACCGGTGACATTAAATAAAGATGAACCATCACCACCCCTCCCCTCCCCTTAAAATCATTTCTTACCTGCTACTGCTGCATAAAACATTGTATTCCATTTTATAATACAGCACTATCAATATGCAATATATTTTGAAATTTATCAAAAAATATTTGCCCCAAACTATTTTCAATGAATAGCCAACAATGTTCATATTCATTTTACTACTTTGGTGAAAAGGGCCACACAGCATAAAACCACACTAGTATTCATATCACTCTTCAACTGTTTATTTAAGCAGGAGGCACAGTGAAGACCAGTAAGTTTTTATCTTCTACAGATAAAAGGAACTACCTTTTACAATTTTTAAAATTATCTGAAGGATCTGCAAATTCTCTCTCAACATCTTTAGTGTACGTTTTACATCCTTTTTAAAGAAGTGGCATGACTCCCTTCCATTGCATAGGAAAAGATACTATTGGTGCTAGATTAAAGCTGGCACAACCATTGTGGTAAGTTTTTTTTTAATAGAATTAGTTAAGAATGCACTCCCTTAGGTTCAGATAACAAAAGGCAAAACATTCATAAGCACAGTTACTCTCCATATACTCCAAAGCAGCCTCTCTCTACCTTTTTACCTTGGAGTAACCCTTGAAATAATGTTCAGGTATCAGAGAAGCCCTGCATAAAAACTTCCATATGTGCCTGCCCACCTCTTAAGATCTGGGGCAGATACCCTTCTCTGGGTGCCCTCCCTGAAGGAGATTAGGAGGGTGACTACCTGGAGAAGGGCCTTCTCTGCAATGGCACCCCAATTGTGGAATTTGCTCCCCAGACTCGCCTGGCACCGTCACTTTATTCTTTTTGGTGCCAAGCCAAAACCTTTTAATTTTCCCCATGTTTCAAGACCTGACTGTTTTAATTGGGGTTTTATTAGTAGTTGAATTTTAAGACGCTGTGTTTTAAAATTTTTACATTTTGTATTGTTAAATTGTCTTAAGACTTCGGTAATGGGACACTCTAGAAAAGGTTTAAATAAATAAATAAATATTATAAAGTTAGTCCTGGGTTTAATGTAAATGAAGGTTGCAATTTGATTTTAATTAGTGCTATTTGCATGAAAAATTATATTGAATAGTATGGTTACTGAAAGCCCAAAATCCAAACAATATGAACAATTTCAGCTAAGATGTTATTTTTTGAAACTACAAAGAAGAATAAAATTAATTTCTTTATTATAAACCCTCTGCTTATTTTTTGCTGCATAATATTTAATTCTGAATTGAACTTTGGGTATCAAGTTAGGGAAGTGTGTTTTTGCAGCATCTTCCAAAGTCCATGAACCTTTCAGTCCAACCTATGCATATTCACCCATAACTACAATTAAAATTTATATAATATAAATATAATTAATATAAATATTTATTTATATTTATATAACAAAAACATTGTTTATGCCATGTTATATAACATGTTGTGTTATTAATTTTATCAATGTGACACACAGCCTGCCATCCTTCCCGTAAGAACCCTTTTGCAGGTCAGGAAGAGAAAGGTTGCTCTAGCTCACAGCCTGACCTGCCTGTGGGAAGGGTCTACAGCCGCCGCTTCCTCTTGTCCCAACATCATGTCCCAGATCCAGACTACCTCTGCCCAGGGAAGACTCACTGGTGACACGCCATTTCCCACTTCCACTGTTAACTGACCAAGGCCCATTTCTTACCCCTTCACTTCAGCAGCCAGTGCCCATCTGTAAATCACAGAGGGGGATGTGATGAAAGGTGGATGTAAAATAAGAACTGTTGCTGGTTGTTGAATGCCAGGCACATGGAATTGTTGCCATGCTGCTCCCTATGAGTCTGAGGCAGATGCACTTGCTGCCCTTGTGGAAGGGGACTCTCCCTGGGCCCCCTCCCATCTCCAAGACAACTGAGGTGAGCAGAAGGACTCCTCAGGAAATAACTCATGTGTTTATAATAGAAACACAGATGAATGTGAAATAGACAGTCCTTATATTCCCCCTTCCCACAAACACACACACAATCCCTTGCAAAACCTCCAATAACCTTTCGCATAACCCAGTTGCTTAAATCCATATATTAAAAGCTATCAGTGAGGATTCTTATCCCATCAATATGTGGCTACTTATTTAGTTCTCTATTTTATTTATTGACATCATCTGCATACCACCCAATTAACATAGTCCTCTGATCAGTTAAGAATTAAAGTTAAAAGCTATTAAAATAAATGGAATGATACTAGCCATAATACAAACTAAGTAATTGAAGCCAGCACCACCAAAACAACATGCACAGATAAAGCCATGAGAATCTTCAAATGATCTTAAAACATCAGGGAAAACAGAAAAATCTTTACTTGGCATTAAATATCATAATGTAAGCAGCAGGCAAGCTTTTCTGAAAGGGTATTCTACAGCTGGGGCACAATCACTGAAAATAATCTTTGCAAAATCAGTACTAAAAGTCGAACTGCAGTGGGATAAATCCAATCGTTTACTGGTTGACTGCAGGCTAAACATGTGTCAGCAGTGTGATGCAGTGGTCAAGAGGGCGAACGCCACCCTTGGTTGCATAGCCAGAAGTGTGGCTTCTAGATCGAGAGAGGTATTACTGCCACTCTGCACGACTCTGGTGCGCCCACAACTGGAGTATTGTGCTCAGTTTTGGGCCCCTTGTTACAGGAAGGATGTAGCCAGGTTAGAGTCAGTGCAGCACAGGGCCACAAGGATGGTGGCCGGTTTGCAGGGGATGCCATATGAGGCGAGACTGAGGAAACTGGGTCTCTTCAGCCTGGAGGAGAGGAGACTCAGAGGGGATATGTTGGTGACATACAGGTATGTGAGGGGATGTCACACGGAGGTGGGTAGAGATCTGTTCTCCCCTGCAGAGCAAGGCAGGACATGCTCCAACGGAGCCAAGCTCAGGGAAACAAGGTCCCATTTAGATACCAGGAAGCACTTCCTGACAGTTAGGACCCCGAAGGTATGGAATGGGCTTCCACGAGAGGACGTTGAGACCCCATTGCTGAGGGTGTTCAAAGATAGGCTGGACATGCACATGGTGGGCATGTCGTGAGCGGAGCCAGCTGGAGCCGGGGGTCAGACTAGATGGCCCAGGAAGCCCCTTCTGACTCACTCTGTTTCTATGTTTCTATTTAGCTGATGAAACAACTTGAGTCATTTTGAGAGGTGGCTGATTCCAAAGGCTTGACACAAGAGGGCAGCACTCACCAGTAATAAAGGACTATAAATGAGACAAAAACCTGTAGCAGTCAGAACTACCAACATGCCTACTTTAATGACTATTTGAAACCATAGCTGCAAACTAGATCTGTAGAAGATCTATCCAGACCACTTCCTTGCATCTCAGCTGCCAGTATGACGGGTAAAACATACCTACTATCTGGGTAAAATATGTGAGTTGCAGATCAAGTCAAACAAGTACAGCAACACTTAACACAGACACAGTGAAGCAATAGGAAACCAACAGCAGCTATTGAAACAGCCACAAAAAAGAGGGAAGAACATGGAGATTATAAGTATATGCATGAAAATGAATGATTCGAATTTGTGTCCATCACATGCAATCAGATACCTCTCACCTGTTCTCAGTAGAACAGAAGAACTGGACCCAGGGATTAGCGTTGCTGCTATCTGAGGATGGGGGTAAGTACATAACCTCTGAGAAACATGTCAGCAGGAGTTTCAGTAGCTCTGTCCTGAAAGACACAACAACGAGAAGTCCCACCTGTCGCTATTTTATTTTGTATTGCATTGCACTGAAGTTGTATTAGAATTTACCACTCTCACATACAATAATTCCTCAGCTCAAAGGACATAATAATCCTGCACTCAAAGACTGTTCTGTTCAAATTATTATTTATTAAAACTTGTATACCCTACATTCTGTCATCAGCTCAAAGTTAACAACATCAAAAGTGTAAATAGTAAAACTTAGCATTTATTAGTTTTTATTAGTTAGTATTAGTTTAAAAATAGTATTTAATATTTAACACCACACAGTAAAACATAAAAGCGGCAGTAAAAAAAACTGTGTAAGAATAGAAATATTTTACATATTTGTAAAAAAGAGACAGACTGAAAATATCAAATCAAAATCTCATACCAGATAACTTCCCAAAAGAAAACTTCTAGCAGATTAACAAGGAGCAACTGAGGACTCCCTTCCCAGAACCTATGCTCAGCTACCAAAAAAGCCCCCTCCCTATTGCTAAGCTGCTAAGCATATCTCTACAGTTGTTCAGACTATCAGAAAACCTCTCAATTATCATTGCAATAGGTATGTGGGCCCACCTGGGTGAAGACAGCCTTTCAATTATCGTGGTTCCAAAATATTCAGGTAAGAACATTACCAGCATTTTGATTTGAACTCGGAAACAAGCAGGAATCCAGTGCTTGTTTCCCCAAGGGGTTCACTTGCTCCCTGTATGTGGCCATGTTAACAATTGGGCCACTGCATTCTGCAGTCAACCAATATTCTTCAAAGACAGCCTTAGGCAGAGTGCATTGCAATAAGCCAGATGCGAGGTAAGCAAGGCCGTGCCACCATAGCCAAATCTGTATTAGCACTGCCAGTTCATGCTGTTTCATAAATTGATGATGTCTTAGTTTTCACCTTCTGTTAGGCGCCATCCAGACTGCAGGCTTAAATAGGAAACAAAGCCTTCCATCTTCCCTGAAATTAAGGCTCTTGAAACTTAATGATTCCTAGATGACATTAGAATAAGGCTCAGAGTACCCAGATTCCCCACACCCATAATAGCCTGCTGAGAGTGGATTCTCACTCGAATGCATAATGCAAAGAAAATGCATAATTCTCTTTAGCCTGTTCTGAAATTTTTTCTAACAATCTCACCTGTTTAAATCATGGAAGAAGTTGGGTGATGGGGAATGAGCAAACCCAACACCAGCCTCCCAGATATATTCACAACTATCAATTGCATGGATATCCTCAGCTGAGTCCTGGAGAGAAAGGTGGAAAAGGAAAGCTCGGTACTCATGGCAACACAAATTGTAAAAACATGGAGCACACTGGGGTATTTTAGTAACAAAGACTACTGCTGAACCTTCCAGCAGAATGCATGGACAAAATGATGAAGATATGGCTAAAGACTTATTTATGCTAAGGTTCCCATATACATAGATGAATAAATATCTGAGATGCTCAAGCAGCAAAGAAGGGATACATGCCACAACACACAGCTTCAAAAATATTCTATGCTGTTACCCACTTTCATTTGTTTTTGTAATGCCCAGTGATGTGCTTATGTACATTATTGAAAAATAAGACAGGCAAATTCATCGAAGTGTGCAACTGTCTTCCATTGAGGTGACTATTTCATTCAGCTCATGAGGCAAATTCTGGCCTGCAAAAGCTTATGCTGTAATGAATGAAGCTACAGGTTTTTTTAGTTCCTTCTAATCTTGTTATTGTGAACTTGGCAGAATGCAACATATCCTGACATACTTATTTAGAAGATTTATAACCCTTTTTTCAGTCAATTGATCCTTGAGGCAGATTACAAAAGAATGATGATACACAAATACATGCATCAAATTCCTGCAGTCCAGCAGCCCTTAGAACCATAGTCAATGGAAGGGCCCAGAGTACTGTACCCAAGACAACTGTGACTGAACAGGTAAGTACAGGCATCTTTAGCAGCAAGATGCTTCCACAAGGAGAGGGAAGGTATTGAACAAGAATGGTGCTTTGACACTACATATTTCTCAGTGTTTTCAGTCTTCTTTAACTTAACCTCTTCCTCTTCTAGGGAACATATATTAATAGTAGTTCTCACATACTCTTGCTGTCTTTGTGTGTTTTCAAGACCAAAAACTTATCACATGGATGAAAACCCCTTCCCGCGTTCATCACAATGTAACCAGTTAACATTTAAGCAGCTTTTATTATTATCACACTGCAAAAACAAGAAACCCTTGCAGGTAAGGAAAGACAAAATTAACCAGTGAACTGCTATCATCCCCAATACATCTATTCCAGTTTAAGGAGGGGAACACTTGAGCTTCTTGGACATAGCTGGCAGACTAAAATAAAAGTTCAAGCAGCTGTCTTCTATTCCAGACCACCCAACCTGAAACAATATATTATAGCAAGACTAAGTAGACTTGAAGGAACTGGGCATAGCATGCATTTTTCCTAGATGAAATGCACGCAACTTTAAGGAACTAGAAGGACATTTAAGGGTACTTACAAGAAAATGGAGAATGGAAAAAAATTGGGTAGAGAAAGGTAACAAAAACAAATAAAGCTAATAAAAAATTAAGACATTATTCCAAGCAACCCCCCCCCCCAAACCTCACTAACTTAGCATAGGCAGAGCAATGAATCCCCTGAAGGACAGTGTTCCCAGCAAGGTAGACAAAGCCAGTTTAGAGTCTGCTTGGCATCAATGAAGGGAGACAAAAGACCATCCCTCCTTGTATGGTTTTATTACCCCCTCTCTTGGGTACATCCTTAGTGTAGTTCAGGTAACCAGGTGATAAATTATCAAGTCCTTCATAGGCTGGCCTCTCTGCCAAGGTCCAAAGGAAGGGAATAATCCATGCACCAATTAGCCCATTTGAGCTCTGCCCCACCACATCTCTGCACTCAGCTTCACGAATGCAGACTCTCATATCCATTTATTATTGCTCCAGAACTATCCTTTGGTGGCACTACTCCCTTGTTCATACCACATGCAAATCACCAGGACCAATTTTGTAGAATTAAGTGCCTGCCAAAAGCAGTATTTTCACTTTCTAGGGAAAAAGTAGTCTTTCTAGCAGCTGACGTAAAGGAGGCCCACAATTGATGTGCCTGGCATCATTAAGATGAGTTCTGTTTCAATGTTTTAATTAATCAAATTCTCTGTGCTGTCCTTTTCCTGGCACATACAGATTCACATTGAAACTCTTGTCTAAGGCCTCTGAAGTTCCATTATATAACAATGAATCTGATACATTACAGCAGGAAGGCATGGCAATAGTGTGAATGGTTGGAACATATCCAGCTTGCCTGCCTTCTAAGACAACATTGCACAGAGCACATCATGCTGGAAAAAAGTGCAACTTTTAAGCATTCTCCAACTAGAACGATTGTGATCTCTCCAAGTAATCAACACTTCATTGATTTCTATAATGCAGGGATTCTCTGTGTAAATAGTTAAATCAGATTTATAAAGTTGCTCACTGAATGACTCTAGGCCAGTCAATGCCTCTCAACCTAACCTACCTCACAGGGTTGCTGTTATGAGGATAAAAATGGAGTGGAGGAGAACTATGAAAGCTGTTCCACACAAGAGGAAAAAAGGCAATATATAAATGCAATGTAATAACAATTGAAGTAGCTGAAAAGAAAATCATACATAATACTTCAATTCATGGAACCATACAATAGGTATGACAAATCTCATATTCATGCCAGGGCCCTGACCTTATATTTATGGAAAGATAGAGCAAGTAGTCAAATAATGACAAGACGACTGGATCCAATGAATTCCTAGACACTTTTCTTGGGTCCCACCAAGGTGTCCTATTTATCACATTTTAATACATACAGTATATATTAAACATTAGTTGCTGCTAAGGATTTTTGTGAAATACGTTTCTATGTGTAAACTATATGTTCTAATGAATTGTTCGGTGCGTTGGAGCTCACTTTGGAGAGGCTATCTGTGGTTACAAACCATTTTAAAGTGATTTCAGGACCCCCAGATGTGTGCAGCTATTTGTGCACATTACTGTTTGGGTCTTTCACAAGTATGCATTTATATACTTATAGATGTCTGAAAAAGAGAAGTTTCACCAAGAAGATGTAACTGCTTCCAAACTGCAGCAAGTAGCAGCCCTAGACAGAGAGGCTCCCAATATCTTCCCCCTTTCCATTATCTTCCCCCTTTGATTTAACTGGACAGCAGTCAAATAAGCTGTCAAGCCAAACCAAAGATATGAGTGATCTGTGGTCACAAAAAGGGAAGCAGGTTTTACAGCACCTTCAAAAGACAATTTTTGGGAGGTGGGGGGAGTCTACTGTCCTCACATTTCTATTTGTTCATAAGACTCTAGGTGTTCAGAAAAATAAAAAAGTATGAGGTATCTCCTTCTAAAAAGAACCAGCATTTTGAAATCTAGATGTTAAAACTCCAGTTTTATAACAGGCTCTACATGCTTCTTTTGCATATGTCCCTGTGAAGAAATCACAAGGAGCCTTGTCCCCCTCCTCCTCAAAAAAACCCCCTTATAAAAGGCACTGGCTGTTAAAATTGACATCTCCTTGTAAAATCAGGTGGCTTGCACTTTACCGTGTTCCCAAACAGATAAAATCACAAGAAGTGGAAAGGGAGGGCATACTTAGGCTAATGGAATCCAAAGAGAGATGCAGCAAGAGAGACAATGCGCAAAAGCAAGGATTTGGACACAAAGGGAAGATAAATCCTACTGCTGCCTTTTGACAGCTGTGAAACCAAACCAAGCGGGGGCTCTCTGAGTGGCTCTGCATGTCATGACAAGCAAGTGTGTTGGGTTATCACTACTGGTGATAACTTACTGCATTTCCCCCAATGATTACAAAACCCAGCTAGTTCAATTGGTTTCTGTCCCCCTCCCTTGTCCTCCTGCTCTTGCTACATACCCCAGCAGCCACCACAAGCAAAATCCCTTTCTTTACCATAATGCTCCCTGTAAAAACCTCTGACTGGTCCACTGAGGTTTTGAGGTAGGTTCTCCCTTTCCCCCCTTCTGATTGCACTTCCATCTCTTTAACACTTCCTAGCCAATCCTGCCCCAATTTTTTGTGGGAGAGGGAAGGGTTTACATCAGAATAAACACTTCTGCTGTGTTTCCCCACTTCTCCTTCCATGCATTTACCCACTTTCTCTCTGTTCCAGAAAGAAATAAGGTGATAGGTACAGCACTCAGCCAACAGGACCAAAGCAACTAATGAAGTGCATGTTATTAGGAAGCTGAGACTAGTAGAGATCAGAGGCCTGAAGATCCCGCCTGTTGTCACTCTTTCCATGGGACTCAGGTGTTTTTCCACCACAAACAGAAAAATGGAGTTCAGGTCACAACAGGCAACCATGGTAAGCAGAAACCACGCAAGAGACCACTGTTTCTTGTCATAGTTTTCATGCCTGAAACAAGCCATAATGATATACCATGACTGGATAAGTTCACAATGGCAAAAAAAAACAACAACAACAACCCCCAAACTCACAATTGTTTGTCATGACATGCAAACCCAGTCTCTGGTTCAGTGTCCAGGGTTGGTAAGGCTGCTTATTTTTGGATCTTTGTAAGTGTACACATGCACATTTGCAAAATATCAAAGAAGAATTAGTAAAATAATGGGTGTCCCAAATATGTTTAAATGCTTGTTTGCAACCATGGACAGCTTAGACACTTTGTCGTAGCTGTGAAACAGGGACTGTGAAAGCCATCTGTCAAGCCATCTGTCACAATCGCTTAAGAAAAATGGAACAGAGTGCAAAAAAAGCTGTGGTGAGCTGGAAAAAGTTCACAATCACAGCAGGGAGGGTGAAGCAAGTTGGTCCTGTCGGTGTCCCCTAGAATATCTGCAGGAGGTCAGAGGGGGAACAAGGAGGCAAGCAATCCATAGTAAGCCTGATTATCTGTCAGGTGCACCACGAATTTCCTGCAGAACAACTAGCACACTGTGGCCCAGAATGGGCCGACATGACATCCAAATGTACCCATTTTCCTTTTCACATTAAAACCTGAAAAAGATTGTTACACTGGTCCATCACAGAGTATACTTATATACCTTGGGAAGGCACTACAGTATATCATATACATATAGATATTGTGTGTGTGTGTGTGTGTGTGTTTTACACATCATAAAACATACATCACAGGTTACAATTAACTTTGTTTATATGTTTAAATTGTATTTATGATATAAGTGCTACCTTGAGGGTTCTCATTTGCTCTGAAAAGTGGCATAAAATACAGCAATAGATAGTTCTTTCTACTTGTGATGGTCACATTTTGAAGCAAACTAAAGAGCTTTATCATTATTTTGCATAACATAACTTTGATAAAAGATGATGTTTAGGAGCCTTGAATAGTTCTTCCAAATGACATATATTTAAAATGCTGCATGTGAGGATACGGCTGCAGAGCCAACCTTGCCCAAATTGGCTTAGAATGTCAACTGAAGAAACATGAAGTATACAGCCTCTCTTCTCTAATAAACAGTGGAAGAGTTTGCTTTCCTAGAATAATTACAATGGCTGAAAGATCAGAGACACGATAATGGAGACAGTGTCACCATTCCTTTCAAGTACCAGACAAGCCTGCCAATAACGTTCTTTGGACAGCTTGTACCAGGCAATTCCAATTTAGTCTTAACGAAAACTGTAGAAGGCCTGTCATGAAAGTGAAAGACTGCCTAATTCAGCAGAGCAGGATGAAAATTAAAGCTGTATCTGCATCACTTGCTCCTCTGCAATTTGGAAGTACCATGAAGGGATAGCATCCCTACAAAGGTAGCAGCAACACTGTGATGCCAGAAAAAGTGAAAAGCAACATCGTTTTGGATCCAGTACTAAACCTTTTCAGGAGAGTCATTATAGAAAACTACATTCAATGGCATCCCAAAAATAGAAACATAGAAACAAAGCATGTCAGAAGGGCATCTAGTCTGACCCATGGCTCCAGCCAGCTCCACTCATGTAATCCCCAACACAATGGTTGTCCAATCTTTCCCTGAATGCCCTCACTGATGGGATCTCAACCACCTCCCTTGGAAGCCTATTCCATATCCTGGAGTCCTAACCATCAGGAAGTACTTCCTGACATCCAACCTGAAGCCTGATTCCTTGAGCTTTGTCCCATTGGAACATGTCCTGCCCCCCAGGGAAGAACAAGTCATGGCCCTCCTCCACATGGTATCCCCTCACATACCTATAAGTCGCTAAAAGATCTCAGTCTCTTCTTCCCCAGGCTGAAAAGGCCCAGTTCCCTCAATCTCTCCTCATATGCCTTCCCTTCCAACCCAGCTACCATTCTTGTGACCCTGCACTGAACCAATTCTAACCTAGCTATGTCTCTCCTATAATGTGGAGCCCAGAACTGGATGCAGTACTCCAGTTGTGGGCACACCAGAGTTGTGTAGAGTGGTATCAACACCTCCCTAGATCTGAAAGCCATGCTTCTGGTTATACATCCAAGGGTGGCATTTCCCTGTTTAACCACTGCTGGCTCATGTTCAGCCTGCTGTCGACAAGTACCCTGAAATCCCTTCCACAGGAACAGCTCTGCAGCCACTTGTCCCCCATCCTGACTCCTATTCCTGTGTCCCAAGATCTTATAGTTATCCACATCGAGTGCCATCCTGTTGTTCCCTGCCCACCTCCACAGCCTGTCCAGAACCTTCTGGATCTGGATCACCTGACGTCAGTTGTAGCCACCACTCCCACTTTGGTATCATCCATGAATTTAGTCAGCAGACTGTTTATCCCCTCCTCCAGGTCACTGATAAAAAGGCTGAACAGAATCAGTCTCAGAACTGAGTCCTGGAGCCTCTGCTCATCACCGGCTGTCATTCTGACAACTCCCCACTGATAGTTATCCTCTGCTTGTGGTCCGTCAACCATGCTCTGATCCATCAGATAGTGTATTGATCTATCCCAAAGCTCAACAATTTCTTGACTATGATATCATGTGGCACTTTGTCAAAGGCCATGCTGAAATCTAGGTGAACCACATCCACTGCGTCCTCTCTGTCTAACCACCTTGAGACCTTATCATAGAATTTCACAAGGTTCGTCTGGCTGAACCTGTTTTTATGGAAACTGTGCTGAGTGGCTGCCAACCTTCCTTCCCTATCTAGGGTTTCTAGAGCTTTCCCTATTATAAGCCTTTCTATTATTTCCCAGAATGGATGTCAGGGTAACTGAAATTCCCCATATCTTCTTAGCTACCCTTTTCAAAGATTGGAACCACTGATGTCACCCTCCAATCCTCCAGAACTTCTTCTGTTTTCCACACGACCTCAAAAATGAAGGCCAATGGTGGCAATAATACCCATGCCAATTCATTAAGTACCCTTGGGTGTAGCCCCCATCAGGGCCCAATGCCATTCTAACATCCAGGGCTCTGAGGAGCTCCTTGACTTCTAGGGAGGTGACTCCAATCTTTGCCCCCATAACCCAAACCTCATCTAGCCCTTCAAGTAGATCTCCCCCAGCCTGCTTTGGGGAGAACACAGAAGCAAAATAATCATTTAGCATCTGTGCCTGTTCCCTCGCATCAGTTACCAGATCCCCTCCCTCCTTTCTAAGTGGTCCCACTACCTATCTGGCCTTCCTCTTCCTATTTAAATGAAGGAACAAGCCCTTTTTTGTTGCTCTTGACATTCTTCACAAGTCTCAGATCATAAGCAGCCTTAGTCTTGCAAAGACTCCTCCTGCACCGTGCTGCCTTCTCCTGGTATACCCTTTTGTCAACTTGCCCCAGTGTCCATTTCCTGTGGAGGTCCCTCTTCCTTCTATTCCCTCTTACCACCTCTCTTCACATCCACATTGGCATCCTCCTAGGCTTCCCTGCTTTGCTAATAGCAGTATCATTAAGGCTTGTTTCTCCAAGATCTCCCTTTTTAAAGTCATCAACCCCTCCTGAACTCTCTTGCTTTCCAGTACCCTCTCCCAGAAGACTCCCCGCAACCTGGGCTTCAATTGACAAAGGTTGGCCCTCAAGAAGCCCCAACTCCTAGTACTTGACCTACCACTCATCCCCGTTCCCCTGATCTCAAAGCATAGGAAGAAGTGGTCACTCTCATCCAGAGCTCCCCCTCCACCAGATCCTCCGCTGTTGATCAGAACCAAGTCTTGGATGTTCCTCCCCCTCATAGCCATTCTGACCCTCAGGGTGAAAAAATCTCCCTCCATATCTTCTAGGAAGCAATGGGACCCAGCTTCCGCCACCAAGTGCGTCTCCCAACTAGGAAGGTACAGGTTGTAGATTCAGCATTACATACACTAAATTCTACATACACAACTCATTATTCTGCAGACCACAGATCTGTAATTTTTCCAGAAACCCCTAGAATGATGCCTTGTTCCAGTGGTCATTTGCATTCAACATACAAAAATTTATTCAATAATATTTGCCCACAAAGACTATCAGCTACAAGCACTGCACAATGACTTGGCAGCAGAGCTTAAAGCATGAACTATATATAGTTTAACTCCTTTAGGATATTTATATACTGATTAGAGTCTTCAAGGCTTCTTAAAATGCTCTAAGAAAAATGAATACAATAAATTCCAAAAGGAAATAAATGTCAAGATAAAGTTGTGGCAATTAATGTAATGTGTGCCAAAAAGTGAGAAACCAGAAGACAATTGGAAAAAAATTCTCATATTTAGTAGACTCACAAATTCTAAGCCAACTTTTATTATTTTTATGAACTCGGTCAAAATTAAGTATAGGGTCCAATTAGACTAGTTAAATGAATTGTATCTGCCATGCTACATGCAAGTGAAATATCAACTCTTCTAAAACATATGTGCTAAATAGGCAGATTATTTAAGGTCCTCTAGCAGAGTTAGGAATGTCAATTTTTTAACCAGCCTTTGTAGTTTAATTTCTGAACCAGCCCCTGCAGTTTCAACTCTTTGACAGCACTGAGATCTGCTGCAAATAGCAAGTGGTAAAGTCTACCTCCAAGCCATGAAAAACTTAACTTTACAAAATTCTGTTAAGGCACAAGAGCAAGCTAAACATTTTTCTGGCCTGTTGGCAACCCTACACACAACAAAGCCGTACTTGGTACTCTAAAGTTGTTCATGGCACATTTTCAAAAGCAAGGCAGTAACTGAATTGGACCTGCCAGAATTTATTTTTCCACCAGGAACCTGACCTCCATTATTGATGCAAAGGGAAGAGCCCAAGACAGGGACCATTTCGCTTAATGGTGACCTCAGGCCGATCCAGATACCCAAGTAATTACTCTGGAGCATATGGAAAAGTAAACAGTAGATGCAAACATTTTCAGTTTAACATTCTGAACAGCTCTTACTTGAAAAAGATTTGTCAGAATAGTGGCAAAACACTAGATTATTCAACTTACCACATTGCTTTTTCGATGACTCTGAACTGTGAATTCTGGACAGAAGAGCAAATCTGCAATGGCCAGAAGCAATGACTCAGCGAGAGGCCTAGCATTTTCATCATCTTCATCTCCCTGCAAGTCATGAATAAGTTAAAGTATTTTCAGTCTAAACCCAATGCTTACTGCAGAGCAACATTGAGTCAATATTTGTTTTGTTTTATTTTTATTAACCAGGCTGTTGGTGATAGTGGCTGCACATCGAATTCACCTTCAATGGATCAGGAAATAGCTGGGGAAAAATAAGGGTTCAATAAAGGAGGACAAGCGACAAAAGCAATAGAATCAGAGTTGCTTCCTTTCGAGATACACTAACAAAAAATAATCAGTACTCAAATAAGAGCATAAAAATCCCTGCTGGATTAGACCAAAAGTCTATTTAGTTCTGCATTCTGTTTGCACAATGGGCAACCAGATTCCTCTTGGAAGGTCACAAACAGGATATGAACATAACAGCATCCTCCTGCTCATGTTCCCTGGTACCTGGTATTCAAAGCCATACTGCCTTCAACACTGGAGGTAATATTAGCAGCCACTGATCGCCATATCCAGCATGAATTTGTCGAATCCCATTTTAAAGCTGTTCATGCTGGTGGCCATCAAAATATCATGTGGTAATGAATTCCACAGTTTACCTGTGCACTGTACCTGTAAAGAAGTGCTTGCTTTTGTCTGTCCTAGACGATGACAGATGCACCATGGATGGAGCACCTCTGAACAAGAACAAGGGCAGATGAACAGGGATCCACTTCACATTCAAAAGACTGAATTAAGATCTGGGCCTGTTTTCAAGATCACACATTCAGCATTTGGATTTGTCTGCTGGCACATGCCCACATGTGCACACACACATGCAACCACCATTAGCTTTCTAGCATGCTACATGTGAGTTCCATGTACAGCATTTAGGTTTGCACAAGCTCAGAGAAAAATGAGAATGGACTGAGAGTAAATTCATAAATGTGAATACGTTATCCAAGAAAGAAGAGCTTACAGCCTCAAGTAGTCTCATGAGCCACTCAAATATCAAGCACCATTCAGAAGCTAAAACCAAACTTAGAAAGAGGCAGTTGCATATGAGTTACTTGGAACTGCATGTTTATTTCAATGAGTCTGGACAAGAAACAGAATTTACCTATCATATTAATCTTGACCACCGTTCTTTGGAGTAAGCTTCTATTTCTTCTCATTTTATGGTGTCTAGCATTAAGATTTTGCTCAAGTTCACTTAGTGGGTCTTTGGCCTATCTGGGATTTGAAACTAAAGCCTTATCTAGAGAGCATCCAAAACGTTTTTCCAGTTTCATTTTACCAACTTGTAGTTTAAGTTCCAACATTTGCTCTGCTGACTACATGGAAGCCACCTGTACTGTAACAAAATGCAGCCATCTGAGAGCAGGATGGAGGTAATCTTGAATCCACTGGACCTGAAGCCCCTTTGCCTCCAAGAAGGCCCCATGATGAAGCTTCCTCTCCACCCAAGTTGGCTTCATTAATTCACTGTTGAAATTTACAGGGTGTGGTGGGAGACTATGAAGTAAGAGAAAAACAGTATAGCAGAAAGTAAGGGAAGTATTTCCCATACATACTTCCTGCTCTGGCCAATATTAGCCAGCAGGGCTTTCAAAGTGGTTTTTTTCCTCAGAGAGGACACCCCACCTCCTATAAACCCATCTATGAAGGCTGCACTCTTTGACTGATAGTTTTGCTGATGCTTTGCAACTCCCTTTCCTCTCTTTTTGGTACTTCACATCCCAAGACCTGCGTGCACCATCACCTAAGTTCAGATGTACGGATTTTTCTGTATATTCATCATCAGATCTGTAGAATTCAGGAGAAGATACAGAACTTTGTTGGATTGGGAGCAGAATTCTCCAAGTACAGATTACCAGTTCAAAAATTATTAGACTGCAAAAGTACACCCAAATAATCCTGGATGGTAGGACACACAACCTTCTACAGAATACTTTTATTGAAATAAAAATCTGAATGGGGCAAAACCAGAGGAAACATTTCACAGCTAGAAAGTCATAAATAGTAAGTAGTAGTGACAGAATATGATTATGGGTACCAGATGCAATAACTGGCAATGGAATCACCATTTCAGTGGTAGCACAATCCTAGTTATGTGATGCTAGATACAAAAAAGTCCCACATTTGAGCTTCTTAGTGCATCTGGCCAACCACTGTTGAGGAGAAAAACAAATTGTTTTACCACAAACTAGGAGTATAAAGTATTGACACTCAACCAACTCATAGGCTATAATCCAATTAGAAGAGCTAAAAATATATTATCTATACATTTTACATTATCTATGAAAGTACTGTCTGAGGGAACATTCATACAGAATAGAAAAATGGGCTGAAGGCTCCCAGGTCAAATGACCTGACTGCTGGAACCCTTTAGCTTCAATTGCATTATATTACTCAGTACATGAACACAATTTAAACAATGCATGGAACTTCATACGGTGGCTGGATGATCTATGAGAAATATGCTGTAGAACCAGGGGTGAAGCAATGGGCACATTTGCACATCACACCAACCCTTTGTAGCATTAAGCCACAGAAGGTTTGTTGCACCTGACAAATAATCAGGCTCACCGTAGCTTGTTTGCCCACTCTTTCCCTCTAAGTCTTCCTGTGGGTATCCCAGGAGCAACCACAGGGGGACCAATCTGTTTCCCAATCCCAGCCATTATCACAACCTATTTGCAGTCCACTATAGCTTTTTGCACTTCACCCTTTTTTCTCCCCAGAGAATGCAAATGCATATTTTGTCGAAGATCAAATCCATTCATTCCCCTGTCCAAAACATCTTTTAAGGAGGACCCAGACTTTTGACAACTAGCTATCCATCAAAACTCCTTCTCCCAAGAAAATGAGGGATGCACTTTTGTGTTTTCCCAAGCAATGAACGTCTTAAGAAAATGTGCACCAGCCTGCTGACTGTTGGCACAAATGAGAAAAAAAAAAAAAGAGAGAGAATTTTGCTATAAAAGGAGTGTAAATCACACCACCACCTTTTCACAAGCAAGGATCAGTCATGCCTTAGCTTTTTCTTGAAAGCTTGCCTTTAAACAACTGCCAAGAGAAAGCAAAGGGTAAAAAGCCTATCTGCAACCTCTTTGAGGCAACAACATTCAAGGATGGTGCCTGAGCACTTTGGCAGCAGAGACCCCCGAGGCATTGTCCCAGCAGTGACTGCAAGTTCCTGCATTCGATCTTCTGTGAACTTTCACAGTTGCACAAGTGTGGGTAAAAACATTTTAAAAAGAATTAAACCTATATATGCACATTTAAAAAAAAAATCTAACAGCCATTCCAAGATGCTACTTATGGTGAATGTGGAATTTGGAATGGCAAAAGCTGTCAAGCCATCTTCCATGATCTCCAAAGAGAAAAAAAGTAAAGTGTAAAATAACTGTGGCAAGCCAGAAAGAGTATGCAATTTTGGCAAGGAGGGCAACAAGCCAGTTCCAGCTGCCTCCCACTGTCAGTTTTGCATGATGCAGCAGTTGGTACTGGCAGGTGATTATGGTTGCACAGGTTTGGATGACATAACAACCAATCATGAGTACAAGTACCCCTAAAACAAGCTATGAATTGTCAGGGTGGCTTGTGGCCTAGAGTAAGCCACCCTATGGTAATCAGTCTGAGTTCACATGACATGACAATCCACCATGGGTAGCAAGCTATAATGGGCTGTTTTGTCATGTGAACCCAGTTAATGGAGAAATGCTGTCAGCCTGCAGGACACGTCAAGTGCTTCAAGGCATTCAAATCAAGCCTTATTCGTTTTTCTCACTATTCATGCTTCTGTCACAAATCTGTAACCGTTTCCAAGGAAACCACATGTCCTGTTTGCAGCCCTATAGCACTGCTGTTCAAAGCTCATCTTGGATTCTCAGGCCCTCCCTCTCTGCTGGAAGAGAGACAGGCGCTTATCTGTGACAGCCAGGCCCGTATCAGCTTGTGCACGACACCCAGCCCTTCACTCATGGCAAGTGAGCTGGTCTACGATAATGACCTGCATTGATCTGACGTTGTCTAGTACCATACCAGGGCAACCAATAAAAGCATTCCATGTGCAGCAACAGCGACATGAGATGAAAGCAGGTCAGCTGCAGACATTTCCTTTCAGCTTTGAGATCAAAGATGGAAAAAGAGTCTTTAGAATCGAAAGCATTAATTTGCTAATTGTCAGCCAGTTACTCAATCTGCCCCCATGTTGAACAATAAGGATGTTTCAACCAGAACCACGCACAACATTTAAGCACTGGTTACAATCCTGCAAGACTTTCTCCTACTCAAGACCCACTGAAATGAATGAATGACAAGAGCACAGCTACACTCTTATATTCCCTACTTATTTCAATGGGGCTAGCCTAGAAGAGGTTTCTGAAAGACCAGCTGAAGGCATTTAAACTAATTGCTCTAATAAATTTAACATTATTTGGTCAAGAAAAAACATTACACTTACCCCAAAATTAGTAATCCCAAACTACTACAATATTTAATAAATTGATTACATGTAATTACTGTGGCAAGGATTGCATTTGCCCAACACTGGAAGAGTGAAGAACCACCCACAATGAACTGATCCTAAAAAGATCTTGGACTGTGCAGAAATGGACAGATTGACTTTGTCACTGAAGGAGAAAGAAGATACAGACTTGTTTCAAACTTGGGACTCTTTTTATTATTGGCTAGAGAAACGGGGCTTCGCACAGATTTAAATATGTTCATAAGTTAACATAAAAAGAAAAATGTGGGGGGGGCTGGCCCAGTAGGTCCGATGTTTCCAATGATTGATGTTATTTTTAGTTTTTCTTTGTTATTAGATTTAGAATAAAACTTATTCAAAAAAATAATCAATTTATCAGTAAACATTTTATCAGCAAGGCAACATTTTTAAATCAGCTGACTGTATAAAAAGATGAACCTCCTTAAGGTAACTAGATCACAAAACAGATTCATCATGTATGTTGTATCTAGTAGTAGAAGAAATTTTTTAAAATTTTAAAATATTTAGTGTGCAAAGAGCTTTCTGGAGTAATTTTAGTTTAAAATCTTGTTGCCTAAAAACAAATAAATCCCCTCCCTCTCCTGTGGTTTCTGGGTAGAAAACAGCTGATTCAACAAAATGCATTCCGAATTCTATAATAAGAAAAGTCCAGCAGAGCAACCAATTCAAATAAATTACTCCCCACCACCCCCTCAAATCAAAGCAGCTGAATGCTTTTGAGTGCAGAAGCTGCTCAGTCTTTTCAGATTTGAATTCCATGGCAGTAACTAGGAGGGTTGGAAGATAGCATGGCAGTTTTATGGTTTAAAGCACAGAAACTGTATTGCCCACTGGAAAAAGCAAGCTAGAGTAATTCACAACATGGTACTTCCATATGACAGCAAACAACTTTCATTCCTTGATGCTATTCTAATGCCCACCTGCAGAGTCCCTGCAGAAGACATACCTGTTCAACACTTTCCCTCTTTCCACTGTAACACAAAACCCTTGACATCTCATCAGTCACCTGAACAGATGATTGGTGGAATTTTGACCTACTGAAAAGGGTTATGCAGGCACTTCTTTGGAATCCATAACTGGTGCTGTTGCTTTTGTACAATGTGCGTATGTATGATTTTGTTCAAAGAACCGTATGGATCTATCAGCATCAGTATGTGACTTTAAAAAAACCCCTAGCAAGGCATAAGACTCTTATTTATTTATTTAAACCATTTCTATGCCGCCCCATTCGCAAAAAGCCTCGGGGCGGCTTACAACATAAACAATTATATAATTAAACTAAAAACCCCAATAAATACAATGAATAAATTAACAATTAAAATAACTTTTAAATAAAAAGGTCTTGGCCTGGCACTGAAAAACAAATAACGACAGCACCAGGCGGACCTCTCTGGGGAGTGCATTCCATAGGTGGGGCGCCACCGCAGAGAAGGCCCTCCTCCAGGTACTCAACCTCCTAATATCCTTCACAGAGGGCTCCCGGAGAAGGGCCTCCTCCGCCGATCTCAGGGGGTGGGAGGGCATATATGGACACAAGCGCTCCTTTAGATAACCAAGTTCCAAGCCATTGAGGGCTTTGTAGGTGATAACCAACACCTTGAATTGGGCCCAGACTTCAATGGGAAGCCAGTGAAGCTGACGGAGGACTGGGGTTATAAGAGAACAATGCGCAGTCCCCATCAGCAGCCTGGCAGCTCTATTCTGCACCAATTGAAGTATCCAGACCGTCTTCAAGGGTAGCCCCATGTAGAGCGCGTTACAGAACTCTAATCGGGAAGTTACCAGTGTATGTGTCACTGTCACCAGGCAATCGTTCTCCAGGTAGAGATGCAGCTGATGAATCAGCCGAAGCTGAAGGAAAGTGCTCCTCGCCACCGCCATCACCTGAGCTTCTAATGGGCCAGCTTGCACACACAGCAAGCCACTTTGGGTTAATTCATTCATGGGACACCAAAGTACATGCCAGCCACCACTCTGAATATACATGCCACAGCAGGAAGCAAAACAGCTTCTTAGGTTGCTTGAACCAAGACATCATGCATTACTGGAAAGCTGTTCTAGTATTATCTATGTTTAAGAGCACACAACACCCAAGGTTACAAAGGCCACAACAAGCCCACATACAGTTTGCAAAGTCAAAATGGCAGCTGGTATGCATTTCAGAGCCCTGCGAGTGAATTAACCCAGTGTGGCTTACCATGACATGTGAACCAGATTTCTGAAAAAAACTGCAATTTGTGCTGCTGGGAGTGAAGGGGCAGGCAAAGCAAAAAAAAAAAAAAAAAGCATCAACCATGTCAACAGGGAAAGAATTTACCCCTTTGTGACTTTCACTGGCACTATAACACCTGTCCCACTGGCATGTAACAAGATATAATCTGAAGAACTGAAGTATAACACAACTTTTTCTATATATTGTTTTTTTCTGGAGGTACACTTGCAGTTTTACTCAGAAGGGAGAAGTAGTGACTTCAGTAGGGTTATGGGGGGGCACTGCTGCAACAGGATATGTTCTATTCACTTTGGGCTTTGAAAAAACTAAAGCAACTCTGACAGGCATTAAGCCCAATCAGCCTTCAGTTGCTTTCTTGCTTCCCTCACCCACTGCCAGCCACAGTTCCTCTCTCTCTGACATGAAAAGTAAATGTAATGTTGCTTCCTCATTCCCCTCACCTCCTCTTTAAGGAAAAGCTACATATTTACTCAGAGATAACACATTATCGTCAATGGCATTTTACCTGTCTACTCAGAAGTCAAGCTCATTATCTTCAACACTGCTTACTTGGAAATGAATCACACTGACTTCAATGGTACTTACTCTTGGAAAATTTGGCATGGGAGAAAGGTTGCACTTGCTTTCAAGAATTGCTTTTGGGTAGAAAGGAATGAAGGTACCAATTCTGTGGGCTTCATACTGTGAGAGGCGGGAGAACAGCAGCATTACAGCCTCTCCTTCTCTATTACTTTTCTGGTGAAGTGACAGGAGGCACTGCCATTATTTAATTTCTGTTAAAATCTCCACTCATTTGTACTTGTGCATACCTAATGGCTGAAGGAGTTCTTCTTCCTGAAAGAGCCATTTCCTTGCATCCATCTTCCAGTTCTTCCTACTTCTCCCATATTTTCAACACAGTAAAAACTGCACTGTATCAATTAGCATGTGCCTCAACAGTAATAAATGTGTTTTACATAAATACCACAACACTCCCTCCCTCACTGCCCTGAGACATTGTAGTAAAGGGCAGGATATTTTTTAAAAAAAATTAATTAAACAGGAGATGTTGTAAAGCTGATCCCCTCAAAATCTACCCCTCCATACAGGTAAGGCAATAGTGGGTCAAAAAGATTGTATCAGCAAAAAGTGTGTTGGCAATTTTAGTTGAAACTTTAAAATTCCAGTAAACCATATGGGACAGGAAAATGCAACAATATGTCACGTTAATTCTCAGGAATACATACATAAACATATGGGGTCAATATGCTAGATAAGTGTGGAAACACAGGCCACTGCTTAGTCTCTGAGAATTAACTGAAGTGCTGCAAGAGCCACCAAGTCCATTTGCTTTGCCCTTATACAATGATCTGAAGGGACAATATGATAAATCTAAGATACCAACTCCAAAGTGACCATGTATATGGAATATAGTGCCATCTCCTTACATGTGAAATGACCTTTCTGATCTACTAAAATTATTGAGACCCTGATTTACTGGTCCTAAATATGCCTGACTTCAAACAACAGATCAATAGTACAGTCAGTCCTTGTCATTTCCCCACCAACACTGCAGACCAAATATACTCCTGAGTAGGATAATGCAGATGCTGAGTAAGATTGTTTTTTAAAAGGTCAGCAGCTGACATTGGCTGAAAACAACAAAAAGCACCTTTTGTTGTCCTTTCAAGGAACAGCAATAGTCTTGGTTCATTTAGGTTTTCTTCCCTCTGTTAAATATGATGTAGTGATAGTTTCCGGAAGGAAGAGTGCCACAAAGATAGCACCATGCAGACTGGCACAGGCCTATATAATAGGTTCTCACATTTAGGTAAATGTAATCTAGTAGTTAAGATTCTACTGATTACTCTTTCATTAATGAAGAGCTCTGCTTCCTGCGGCTTCTCCAGTTCCCCTGAATTGTAACAATGCAGTTCAGCTGCTATACATACCCCTCCTCGTCCAGCCCCAGGGACAGTCGACCAGAAGAAGCCTCTCCAGTCAGGATCTTCAAAGATATAGGGTAAGATGCGGGTCAAGAGGCGGCTGCAATTCAGAACAATCTGTTTTTCTTTCTCAAAGTGACAGCCGCTCTCAGCTCCCTGTACCAGCTTTTCCACTGCCTAGAACAAATGACATACAGCATCTGGGTAATGTAAGAACCAATTCTTGCCACCAATTAACCAAATCTTCAACCTGTTTATTGTTGCCACATTATACTATACAAATGTGTATTTTTTACTGCTGTTGACTTCACTTTGATTGTCCACACATCTCAGGATGCTAGATAGTTTATTTTATTCTAAAGGAAGCCCAACACATTTCAACTCAGGCTTTCCTTGAGATCTTCTTCAGGGATCTCATTAAAATAGCCTTGCAGACAACTCTGGAAGTTATTGACTATATGAGATACACCTTCGAGTATTTTCTGAAAGCTATTTAATGAGACCCTTGAAAAGCCCCCCCAAAAAAGCTGTTGAACTTCCTTATTTTATTGGAATCCTGAAATGAGTTCTTTCCAGCTTTTTCCTGTTTTTTCAAATTCACTGACAGCATTCAAATGACTCATATCCCATGATAATCCAGGATTATAAAGCAGTTGGTCTATAAACACCTTAAAAACAATGCAATGATTACTGAAGCCAACATGGATTTCTCAAGAACAAATCCTGCCAGACAAATCTGATTCATTTTTCAAATGAATCCATCAGGGTAAACTCCTTGATGGACTGTAGGAATGCTGTGGATATAATCTATCTTGGCTTTGGCAAAACTTCTGACAAAGTGCCCCATGATCTCCTGATTAGCTAGTTAGCTAAACATGGGCTAGATGGAACAACAATCAGGTGGCTCCACAGTTGGCTACAGAATTAGACTCAAACAGTACTCATCAATGGCACCTCCTCCAACTGGGGAGAGGTAGCAGGTGAGGTACAGCAGGTTTCAGTCCTGGGCTCCCTGCTCCTCAACATTTCTATTAGTGACCTGGACAAGAAACTGCAGAGAACAATGATCACATCTGCAGATGACACAACTGGGCAGGATAGCTAATACCCTGGAAAGCAGAAAGAAGTTTCAAGGTGATCTTGATAGGTTGGAGCTCTGGGCTGAAAGCAACAGACTGAAGTTCAATAGGGGCAAATAGCAAGTTCTATACTTAGGAAAAAGAAACAAAATGCATTGTTACAAGATGGAGAATACTTGGTCCAGCTATACTGCAAGTTAGAAGAAGCTTGGAATTGTTATAGATCACAAGCTGAATATGAGCCAACAATGTGATGTGGCTGCAAAAAGGGCAAATGCTGTTTTAGGCTACGTTAATAGAACATCACTTCCAAAATCCATGAGGTACTGAACCCTTGAAATAGGCAGGTTTTTATATAACTGATTTAAACAGAAAAATATTATGTACAGTGGAAAGGGCAAGGCATCTTACCTTGTAACACAAAGTAGCCAAATTTGAAGGAGATTCTTCCCTCACAGCTCTGATTTCTGCAGCAGGAACTAGAGCAAATACATCTTGAACTGAAGTAGCTGTATCTGCCCAGAACTGGTCCCAGAAGGCATCATCTGTTGCTTCCACAGGCTAAAGAGAAACAAATATCACAGAAATCACTTTAATAAAGGCCACACAAAGCTGATCAGCAATCAAGGAGCAGGGTAAAAGGTAATTATAACCTAATACTGGTTTTGTGTGATTAGTTTAGAACTTGATCTGATAAACCTATAAAGTTATCAAGCGAACATAGTACAATAATACACAATACAGTTTAGTGCTAGAAAATATAATACACAATGAAGTGTGCCAGCATGAATACATTATCAATACAATAAATGGTCCCGGAAAGCATTAATGGAAAGAACAGAGAATAATAAAGAGTAGCTGGGAGTCTAAAGGGAATAGGGAGGGACAAGGTGTTGCAGTTGGGGGAACAGTTTCTATTTGCTGAAAATGGATGTTTTATCAACACTTTTGCTTTAGCTTCTAAAACAAACATTTTCCACCATATTCAGAAAACACTGTACATATGAGAACATATTTAGATGTACACAGGTAGAGTAATGGCCATCCATCTCTCTCTCCACACACTCATCAATAGACTTTCATCCGGGCAAACCCAAAACTGATCTGAGTATACTTGATTATTCTGCAGCTACACACAAGGTTATTTTTCTTTGTAAGACTATTTTGGAGAAAATGTTCTACTAAATAGGGCAAATAGCACAGTTTAGTCCTTGAGTCATAATCTCACTGAATAATGTTTAAGGCAAAACATCTGGTAAAACAAGCATTCTTCCTATTCCTGATCCCTTTGTGAATTTGGCATAAGGCTGAAAAAGCAACCAGCTATCTGGCCTAATACCAGTTATCCTAGGCATTGGTTTCATATTGTGGTTGGGTGAGGGGAGTAGAAATACAGTTAAACTAAAACAATTTCCTGGCTTACAGTTTTCTAGCTTTATAACAAACATCCAATGGATATATTATTTAAAGGACAGTTTAAAAGCAAAAGACCACTCTACTATGCTTTTATTAATAATTGGCTGTAATGAAGGAGAACACCTTATCTAGGAATGAGTAATATGCTGCTAAAACACAGTAACTGGAAAGCAAAAGCAGGTAAGCTAAACATAAAGTGGTAGAGCAGGTTTGTTTTGCGGCAGTTTTGTATTTCTGCAAGAGACTAATGTCAACCACCTCACAGGTGGATGGCTTTAGCACAGAAAGTATTTGCACATTTAGCCAATGGGCAACAAAGCAAGTCTTCATTTAACTCCTTTCAGCAGGAGGGGGGAAGGGTGAGACATCTGAGATAAATTCAGCAGGGAAGCATGTATGTGGCAGTGATAACTGAAAATCAACTACTTTAGTAGGTTTGTTTAGAGCCACACAGCAATCCAAGTATATACACTGGCATTCAGAAGCATCTAAGGATCAAGTTTATAAGGATCAAGTTTATAACTGGGAACAGCCCTTTGTTTGATCAGAGCAAGTACTATCCAGAATGAATCTGATTAAAATAATTGGAGTGTAGCGTGCAACATCCATTCCCTTAAAAAGTATTAATAGACCTTACTATATTCAACATTACCCACAGGCAAACAAATTAGTATATCACCTGCAACATGCAGAAGGATTCAAAAGGTGCCTTGATGCATTATTGGTAAAAATGTTGCAGACAGGATCTGAAATTCTTCAGAGTACCTTACATTGGGCAGACTTTAATAATTAAAGATAGCATTGTTGCTCTGCACAAAATCTTTCCTCAGGAGTAAGCATTTGAACTTCTATTGTAATAAACTTTTCTTCATTGGATATCAAAGGTATATTCAAGCCAAACCACTTAGCACAAAGCTTGGGACCAGTTATGAAGTGAAAAGCTAAGCGTTGCATAATAAGTATTCTGAATTAAGTAGTCATGGTTGGTGGCTGTATCTTCTGAACACAGCACAATTTACTCATGCAGACAGATACTCAGGAAGGTAGAAAACTGCAGTCCACCCAGCTTTTCCTAACAAAATGGTAATTTGGAGAGGAAAGTATAAGAGCCATATATCTTCTTCTCCAAACTACACTTTTTTGCCCTGCCTAAATCCCTGAGGTTTTTTTTTAAAGCCTCACCTTCATCAATGTCATGCCAGCAAAAAAGGGATGTGGAACCAATGGAAATAATCATGAGCAGTGAGATCTCAAACTAAAGGTTTTGTTGTAAAAAGGGTGGAGACTCTCCTTTTGATAGCAGTCAGTGGAAAGAAAAGTAAAAAAATAAAGCTATCCAGAGCCTCTCTGGACCAGTATCCAAAGTTTGGTATCTGTTATGTTTTGTCAGCTTGTCCCACAGAACATTGCCCAGATGCTTCCTTTTTTTAAGGCTCAAAAAAGTGCTCACCTTCATATTTAAACCTGTTCAACTACAAAACAGAAAAACCAGAAAAAGCAAGCATATTTAGGGTGGTCTTTTTAAAGGGGATGGCCAACCAGTGAGAACCCCTCCAATGTGCTACTTCAGCATTTCGGATGGCCTGTCACTGGCTGGCAAACTGGAAGTCATAAAGGATCTTGCCCCACACCAAAAAACTCACAAGAGAAAAATGCATGGCAAGCCAAAGAATGACATGCAATCACAGCAGGGAGAAGAGAAAAGGTTGCTTGCACTGCAGTATCTCCAAGGATAGGGTCTGGAAAACAACCTACAGTGAGTCCAGCCAATGCACCTTGATTTACTAGGGTGAGTTAGCATGACATTCAAACCTGCCCTTTGTGTCATTCTGTACTGCACACCAAGACACTTGGACACAGATTTGCTACACAACCACTACAACTAAATGCAATGTTCCAATAAGCCAGACTACTACCAGTGAGGCCATGTTTCTTTCAGAGAGGACCACAGACCTATGGCACAAAAAAAGTGGTAGATCCTCTGCTGAATAGAGAATGAACATCTGGACTCATCTGACTTGAATAACTATCTCCCAGCATTAAACATTCCCTTTTGGAGCAAAGTAAGTAAGCCACTTTTGAGTTCACCGTGGGGAAAGGAGGATATAAATCAAATGAATAAATAAGTAATGTAGCTCCAGGGGTACCAGATTAAACTAGTTTTCTAGATTCCCTTTAGTTTCTTTTGGCTCAGTTTCAGGATGAAAACTGCCTTGGTTGACCTAGAGACTTCCTTGCACTGAGAGATGGCTGGGGGACTGCAACACTCTTGGTTATCTCCTTAGAATCAATTTAGTACCATTGTCTTCTGGGTCTCCTCATGGGGATGGAGGCATAGGACACAACATTGGCTTGTTCTGCCCATTCTAAGAGGTATGATCCTGGTACTAGGAGGTAATAGCTTTTCTCTTTGGGCAATGGACTACAAGATTCTACAGGGTTCCATCATGACTGCTATGCTGTCCAAATCACCATCAGATTTCTAGATGAAGTAGATTTAGACTACAGAATCAATATGCAAATCATACCCAGTTTTAAGTCTCATTTCCTTCTGTTCATTGGGAAGCAGCAGAAACTCTGAGCCATTATATTGAAACAATATGAAAATGAATCCAGACAAAGCAGAAGTGCTATTGGTGAGCAGGCCATCTGCAGGCTGGTTTGGATGAGGTTGCATTCTGCCTATAAGATCACCCATAGTTTGGGAATGCAGTAGTCCTGTTATATGTGCAAGAGCAGCTTTTTCCAGCTTCAGGTGTGTTTGTTCTTTTACACCAAAAACACCTCTTCTTTAAGAATTTGGACCTTACCATGTTCATTCATGTGCTAGTAACTGGATTACTAAATGGACTCCACATAAGGGCTGCCTTTTGCAAGCATTCAGAACATATTTCTGCTTTGCTTGATCTACATTAGCCAATAATTCATTTCTAGACTTAATTCAATGCGCTGATTTTAATCTTTAAAGTCCTAAGCGGTAAAACTATGGGTACCTTAAGAACTATTCACCAGTGGATGCCTCACTCTAGATGCCTCAATTTTATGACACCTGATCAGTAGCCATTTTATGGAACCCATTCAAATGAAATCCGTATCACTTTGTTCTAGGCATCTGGTAAAACAAAGCTAGGTAAGAAAGCTTTTAGTTGCCCACACAAGACATTTTGGCTCATCTTTTGAATTCTGCATCTTTATAATGCTGTTTTCACAAACTGTTCTCTTGCTTAGAATGTTAACACTGGTCTCTCATGGCTGTTGTTTAAGAGTGCTATTTGTTGTTTATGTTTTTAAATATTGTATTTTCTTGCTCTGTAAACTGTCTTGAATTCATTCTTTGGTAAAGGTAAGGTTTAAGTGTTTTAATTAAATAACTGGCTATAAAGAAATTTAACCTTTCCTGTAACTGGAAAGTGAAGAGAATACAGCTGTTTCAAATCTAAACATACAAAGTTAATGTTTTTATTAAGTGATTTAGGGATTCCATCTATTTTTCTTTGAGATAAAGAAAGAACAACTTGGATCAACAACTGTCAGTTTCCTAAGGAAACAGGATACATCTGCAGAAGCAAGAGAACAGAACACCTCTTTGACACAGGAAAATACCACAAAGCACTGCCCCAAGAAGTAGTGTTAGTTGCATTTCTACATACTTGGTAGCTTGATTGCAGGTTGTTGAACCTGGATGTCGCAAACCTGGGTCCAAACCCTCACTAAGCCAATTTAGTTAGTTTATCAACTCAGAGCACAATCCTGTGCAGATTTAGACAGACATTGGCTAGAGCATGCTGGCCATTTTCTGTCTAAGCTTGTATAGGATTGTACCTTCACTGTCTCTCATCCTTTCAATAAGCTTATGAGCAGGCTAGATTAACATAAATTGTATAACCTCCCCTTCATCCCTTAAGATTGGGAAGGAAAGCAATCTAGAACTTCCTAAGAGGGACACCACTTAGCTTGATGGTTAGTTTGCTTCTATTAGGATATGCAAAGGAAAACCCTAATACAAAGTAGTATACTTTCTCTAGAATAAGGGATTCAGCAAACAGGACCTAACACAATTTAGAGCACAAATTTAATCATGCTGTAGTAGAACCTTTTATGTCTAAACATGCATCAATTCGCCTTAATCTACCAAGACATCAGTATAATGCAACAGGCAGTGTGTATGCAGTGACTGCACATTATGCTACTGTTTTAGACACTGGTCCCCAAAGAGCATACACACAGAGCTCTATTGTCCTATATATGTGCTTTCTGGTATAAGGATATCTTGATAGTTTTTCAAAAGAGTCACATTTCTGATCATTTGCAATAAATTATTAACCAGTGTATTAAAGTATCATGACATACACAGTAGTTCTGCAGAAAATAGTCTACACACAAATATACATCCTACTGAAGAAAAACGTAAGGATTAGAAAACACACACAACTAATAGTACTTATGCATGTGCTGAAAAATCTAGGTAGCGTCAAAGGAATTTGCAAATCAGTTTAAATTTGCAGCCTGATTTGCAAAATTAAATTTGAATTATTAGGATCCATGGCTAATAAAAGTAAGAGTGGTACATAGCCTTTATTATATCTGACTAAGCATTTGACAATCAGTAGATCCATGACATGGTTGTCATTTTAGTAACCAAAAACCAGCAGTGTTCAACAACTTGCCAGTGCCTGATGAAAAAAAGGTTTAGTCTTTCTCTTATAAAAAAGTAAAACAGCAATATTGAGATGTTACTTATAGAATGTGGTTTATAAGACTGGTAGTAGACCTTAACACAAAATTCTTGGTGACTCGCTTCAGGAAAACCTAGCAATGTACACTGCACCTGCAAGAAGTGCTGTTCCAGTGTGTAAATATAGGTGTTCCACCTCCTCCGCCCATCCACTTTTCCTCATAACACAATCTACAAATGTTTTTAACAGACCAAACCAGGAACATACTCTTAAAAGGAGTGAACCTTTAAAGTCAACAAACCAAAATAATTTGACTCCTATTTCCACACTTCTAGCACTCAGAAATTAGAGAAGCCAGTTTGAACTCATTTAGCAATCCTACAATCATTTATGCAGCAGTAAATCCCATTGTAGTCAATGGTACTTAGTTCTAAGTATACATGTATAAGACCACAAGCACTCTAGTTTATAGGTATTCACTTTATTTTTTCTTTACCTGACAGAAGAACATTAACATTGAGCACTACACTATCACTAATGCAAGGTCTTTTCCTATTAATGCTACATTAACAACTTCTTTTTCCCATCTTCTTCTATCTTTGTCCAAAATCCAAATCTAAAATTTCCCAGAGATTTTAAAAACCAAACCCTTTTATAATGAACAAACAAAGAAAATAAGGATTACATAATCTCTTATTGCATTGTGTTTAACCTGCCTTTCTTCCTTTTGCAAGAAATCCAAGGCAGCTTACAAGGTTTGCTTTCACTCCATTTTATCCTGAAAACAACAAACTGGTGAGGTTGGTTAGGCTACGAGTCAGTGACTGGCCCAAAGACACCCAGTAAGTTTCACAGCTGCACAGTGACAAAAAAACAGATCTCCCAAATTGCAGTAGAACACTCTAGGCACTACACCACTTCAGTTCTCTTACTAAGTTCAAATGATGCCCTTTTTAACCTTGCCATCCTCTTTCGTAGACACCTGGAGAAAAGGAACCAACCAAAAAAGATAGCTTTTTCCTTATATCACAAGATTTCCTCATATCACATAAACGTATCTGACTCAATGTTTATTCATCCATTCTTTTATTATACAGCTCCTGCAAACTCATTTCAGCAGAAAATACCATTATTCTGCTACAAGCCAAATTTTAGCAGATCAAAATATGTCTGTCAATAGCCATGTGATCCACTTTAGTTTCAATCACCTCCTGCTTCAGGTAGCAGAGGTTATTTGAAAATGTGTGACACCTATCTCAGAGGACTCATAGCAGCTAAACACACTAGGAAGCAGGACCTGTTCTAGGAGTTTTTTGGAATGATTTACCACTTTTTCAGCAGTGCCTAAACTTATAATAATTTATTAGCATGGAAATGGGAATAGTTTTTTTAGCACATTTTGAACAAGAGAAAGCAAAGAATTTTATTCTACATTCATTAGCCAGCTTCCCTAAAGCTAAATATCTTTTTTTTAATACCTTAAAATATAGCTCCAGTGTAAATGAAAGAGTTATTTGTAGGATTACTGTCAAGGCACATCACAACAAATCTATGGCTATTACTTATACATTAATAATTCATCACAAAGTTTCCAGATGTTCTTTATTTTTAAAAATTTCTCTCTTACTATGAACTTTATGGTAAATAGGGTTCTTTTAAAATATTAGGTAAATATACATTATAAATAAAATGTATTTACACACTAACCTTATTTCTTAGCTGTCACATCATGGTTAACATAAATTGTAGAACACTATAGTTCATATGACCTTTCATTTCACAGTGATTCCATAGATTTTGATCTGCCAGTTCAGATACAAGGAAATCTATTTTCAAAATCCTAATGCACACTAGTATGTGCCAATGACCAGAGATTGTTACTGCCTGTCTACATTCCCGCACCATACTGGTATCTAACCATGGTTACTAAGCTCATGCTTTTAAGAATTTTTTTTTAAATCACCAGCTGTTGCATTTTGACCACAGGCTTAATGTTCTTACATTAGATCTGCAAACTTGAAATTCAAGTGTCTTACAGAAAAGAGACCAGAATTTTGCTAAAGGCATTTACCAACTTAAAAGATTTTTCCTCTGCCTACAGTGATCACCCTTCAAGGACAAATGGAAGTTTTCCCAGTACTATGTCCTTTCCTCTTTCCCTATCTTTAAGCACCACTTCAGGCAGCCCAACCTGTCTCTGCTCCCTGGGAGGTTTCTGAAGTTACAACAGCTGTTGCACTTGCCAGTACTCAGTTACTCTGCCTCCTGATAGCTACTCCTTATTACTTGAGAATGTTTCTTCATAACAAAGTTTCTTGTACCCATATGCCCAACTTGAACAACTAAGTGCAAGCGGACAAAAGACAAACATCCATTAGTCTAGTGCTGCTTCCCATCAACAGGAAAAGAGATGATTGCCCATCACTAAAAAACAGAAGAATATCATAAGAGTTGGAAGCAATGAAATGGATATATATCAGAAAAGAACTGTACAATTTGTATGATGTATGATTGAGATGGGTTTTTCTTAATTTCAGCTGTGATACTTTTTCTGAATATGGGGGTGGGGGGAAGAGATCGTCCATCAGGTCTGACTACATTATACTACCAACAGTGCATTTTTCTCACTTTTTTGCTCCTACTCTTCTTATGGAGCCTCCTGCTCCTACATGCCTACTAGGCCCAAATCCCAAATACTCTGGTGCAGCTCACCTCTGCCAAAAGAAGGGTTGCACATGTGAATTGTCATCCATTGCCAGTTTTTAAAAGAGTGCCATATCAGAGGGGCATTTAAAGCACATGAGGCAGTGGACTCTTCATCCACAGAGAAGGAAAGGGTTGGGGTTAGGAGCCAAGGCTGCAGGCGTAAGGTTTGCTCCCCAGCATCTGCCCGTGGATACAGCAGGCAGCTCCCAGAGGCCTGATGCGTAAGTGCCACACATACCACCCTTTCTTATCTAGAGCCCCACCAGGATGTAGAGCTTACCTCAGAGCCGCTACAGAGCTCCGCGCGGGGTGGAGGCGCTCGTATCAGCTTTCGTCCGCGGCCCCCTGCCCTGAAACTAGCCGGAGGGAGGAGACTGGACCCCGCCAAGCCCCAGCCCCGCATCTCCTTCCCCAGGCATGACAGCCCTCTCTCCCGACCGCCGCCATGACCGGTGCCCGCACCCAGGAAGGCCTTTTCCTAAATCCCCTCCGCACGCCTCGCCTTCCCCGTGGACAGCCGCCGTGCCGTGCTCGCCCGCCTGAGGAGATCCGGCCCGGGGCTTCTCCCGCCGCCTCGGTGGCCAGCACCTGCTTCCCCCGCGAGGCGGGCGCCGCGCAGGTGCTTCTCCCCGCAGCCCGGCCTCACCTGCGTCTTAGTGGTGAGCTGGATCACCGCCTTCCTGAAGTTGAGCTTGGAGTCGGCGTTCCCCATCCTCCTGCGCCCGGATCTGGCTCCGCTGCCCTCCTCCCGGCTCGCCCACGGCGCCTCCTGCGGCGGGCCAGCCCCGGCCGTCTCCTCCCCCGCCGCCCGTCACCGCTAATACCCCTCCTCCTTCCCTTGACGCGACGGGCTTCATCCCGCGGCTCGCTCGCTCTCTCGCTCCCTCCCGTTTGTCAAAGGCAGCTGATGCTGATGCTGGGCCTGATCCCGCCTCCCCTCGCTACAGACACGGCCCCGCCTCGCCGCGCCCTCCAGCCGCCTCCGTCCCTGCCAGGGGCAGGCAGGGCCGCAAGCCCGCCTCGCCTCGCATCAGCGTCGCATCTCCCCGCTAGTCTCTGGGCGCCCCTGCTCACAATCCGCACCACGACGACATCCTTTCGCTCCTCGCGCGCCTGCCCACCTCCCGCACGGACTAGGGCCGTTACTTGGACTTTCCTCACGTCTCTCCAAACTGGAAGCGTACAATTTCCCAAACAGCCACAAGCCCTGGCCTCAGTGACTCCTCTTCCATTTTCGGCCTCACACCTCTCGCACCGTTTTGTAGCCGAATCGGAAGTCAGTCCGACTCCTGCCTTTTTCAGCGGGGCTTGTTCCCAAGTAAGTCCACAAAAATGTTCAACCCTTAAGTCTCTGTTCCCGATTAGCCGAAGAAAAGGTTGCAGGTTTCTCCTTACATCCCCTTGCACACAGAATCCTATTTATTTCTGTTTTCTTCTATATACTAGTTGCGTTTTTATTGCACTGTAAGACGAGAACTCTCAAGTATAATCATCTAGCACATCCTCCCCTCCTTTCTGAACCTGGAGTAGCATCAAAGACTTGTTCGATAAATCATGCTTACCCACTATGCCATCCTCAACCAGAGCACAGGTGCTGCTCTGCAAAACCGAAAATGTATGCATGTATTTTGATAGCATAATTATGAATGCAAAGGACCCCAAGTTCAGTCTCTTATATCTGCAAATAGGGCTGAGAAAAGTATCTGCCTGAAATGCCAGAGAACTATCAGTCAATGAGTGGATGACTCTGAACTAAATGGACGAAGTCTGACTCCCTATAATTTCCTATAGTCTGATTTATATGTCCCCTGTATTTTTATTAAACATACCCCTTTAGCCTCATCAGAACCTGCCATTTAATAAGGAATTACTTAATCATGCCTCCTCTTCCTTAACCTGCCAATTTGCCCATTCATATTAATAGTCAGGATGCTTTAACAAGGGGTTAAGGATAGATTTCCTTCTTTTAATATATGACTAGCAATGGTGAGGAAATTTGAATCCGCATTAGTAACTTATGGCTGTAATCCTATACACTCCTACCCAGGAGTAAGCTCCACTAAACTCCATGCTGTGTCTTCTGGCTAATCATGCATATGATTATGCTGTTACAGAACCAAGTTTGGTGGTTGCTCTGTTTTACTATAGTAAAATAGCATGATCCTGAATATGTGAGACCATTTCTCCATTCTGTTTCCAGTCACCTTAATTTCTACTCCTTTCTATGTTTAACATCCATTTCCCACTTTCTGCATATGCATCACTTCTATTACATTTATTTATTATCTATTGTACAACAGTCTTCACCTTGTCATTGACTGTGATCGGGAGCAGAGAAGCAGCAGGTGAAAGACCTTTACATTTAAATGCCTGCTGTTTTCATTCTCCAAATTGCTTCCCCAAGTAGCTCTTCCCTCTGTGAGATTTAAGATGCAAAGCATTTTTAACCCATAGGGATTACCTCTCAATCCTTACTTGTAGGCTTTATAGGTTTGGACTTATCTTCATTGCAGCTTGCATTTCCTCAAGCTCCCTTGTTCTCACCCTCCACCCCATTTTACATAAGCTCTCCCTCCTGTTCCCTATGTTTTTCAAACAGGCATCAGCCACTGACTTTGAAAATACTATATTCATGAAAATCCATCATGTATTGAATAATAGACTAAAATAACTTTGTTTAACATATATAGAAACCAGAGCATTCTATTTTCTCTGCATTTTGTTATGCTTTGAATAACAGTGCTTTTACACGCTTTCTCTCAAAGCACACATTAGGCTCCCTCATGCTCTGAACAAGTGTTCTTAACACAATGAGGGATGCAAGAGAGGCATCTGGACACCAAATGCACAGTCCAGCAAATGTGGATTTCATATATTCATTTGAGATTGATTTAAACAAATCCTGGGCCAAACATGTGTGAAAATGCCTTGAGAATGAAAATAGGAGCCCAATCCTGGAAGGAAACCCCATTGTTAGACTTATTTTGAGTCCTAGTTGGCATAAAGGAGGTTTTGCACACATTGATGAGTCTACTGGCACAGGATGGTTTAGTCTACACTGATCTGTCCTAGTTTAATTAGAAATTTTGCTATATCTTTTACCAGTATCAAAGGCAGTAAGCCTATATATAACAGTTGCTGGGGTACTTGGACAGGAGGGTGTAAGTCATGTCCTGCTGGTGGGTTTTCCATAAGCAACTGGTTGGTTACTATGTGAACAGACTGTTGGACTAGCAGATGCAGCATGGGTCTTCTTACATTCTTAATTACAGATCAAATATTTATCCGTAACTCATGCAGGCTGAAATTCTAAAACCTACTTTGACCTGGTGTACTCCAATATTCAGAAAGTTAGTTCTGGTTCAAGTCCTCCTCTTGACTGTTGTCTCTGACAGGTCACTATCCTTCAGTGGCCTTCTTTCCTCTATCTGCTAAATAACAATGATCTGCCTCATTTGTTGGGAGGAGAAATATAATGTTGTAAAACATACTTCAAACCTTAATAATACTTCATAATTTGACAATACTTGTATTTTTCTCAGTTGGATTGCTTCAGAATTAGTATTTTAGAATGCCAGTTTGATATTTCAAGAGGAAATTGTTTGGAACATATGGTGGATATTCTTTTCCATACAGGTAAGATCTATCTGGATAAACAAATACACATCTTCCCACCCCCTAAAAATCAAACAAACAAAACTCCATCAGAGCTCCATGAGAATCTGTTTCAGGGATCTGCAGGCAAAATGATTTCATGGAAAAAAATGAGCCTCAGGATCACTTCTTGAATTATATATACGGGAATGTGAGAATGGCCACACAACTATCTTTCTACACATTACAAAATCCACATATCTTCATACATGAAAGTGGATTTCTGTAAAGTAAAACATCACTTTTAAAGAGAACACAGTTAACCAGTATCATGTTCAGAACTGTGAATAATCCAGTTTACATATCATGGTGACAAATCAGGGGTTATTCAAATTGTGGGTCATTTCTAAGTCACTAGGTTATTTAGTGCACAGTTTGTGAGATGTATGCTATGCAAGAGCCATTTCTACTTTCTATAAACCTATAATTGCTCCAAATGTCAGCTGTAAGCATGCTGTCTGAACCCAAATGCATTGGGAAAAAAGGGTTAAACCATGATTTGTTCTTGGATTAACTCTGAAATTTTTAACCCATAAGAAACCTAGAGTCTCCACCTTCAGGCAGCAAGCTCACAATCTGTGATTGAGAATTTTTATGTTGTTTACAAAAACTGGAATTGGCTTGTATCTGAGCAAGTTATGAGTTAATAAACCTGTTCTGTGATGTACAAACTGGCTCTTTTAATCTGTTGCTTAAATGGGAGAATGAAAAAAGAGAAGTCCCATTGCAAAATATAATTTACTACCTAAGCAACTGCAGGAGGTCAAATACTGCCCTCAGAGAACTTTGTATTGTAATTCTTCTATGAAAAAATAAAACAATCACATTGAAAAATGAATTAAGGTGTACCTATCAGGATTGGTAAATTTATCTTGTTTATTTGTTTAATGCTCTTTTAATTTTAATCTTCAAACACAACAGTTCGTATCAGTCAAAAATGAGATACAGTTCTTGTCCTCAGGCCTACAAATAAAAAGGCAAGCGAGTGGACTGAAAAAAGTAAATGGAGATCAGTTTGACATGACCAGTAGGCATTAGTGAGGTGTAAACAAGCGTTTATATGCAGGAAGGGCCAGGCTAACCTTCCCCTTGCTATGGTGTTCTTTCTGGGAGGGCCCTTCCCAGTAGCCTTTTTTCCTCTAGTAAAGGCCAGAGGGTTATTTTCCTTGCAATGAATTCCTAGTTTAGCTGATATAATAGCCATTTTTGTGTTGTGCCTTATGAGGAGGACTCCATACAATCGAAAAAGAACTGGAAAAGAACCAGTGTAACTCCTATGATAAAAGACATGATACTAAATTAGTTGTTGAGCTCATGTGTGCATAAAGGAAGATGGTTAGCATTCAGACCTGTGAGAGAATCAGTTTCCTTTAAAAGTAACTAGAAGCCATTAGGAAACATTGAGGCTCCCAAACAGGAAAACTTTAACCCACCTCTGCTGTTTATATAAGGTTGTTATATATGATTGCTGTAGATTGGCACATCACAAGTAGGAGACTGAGGATGCTTCCAGATGCTTCTAGTGCTACTAATGAGATTTTGCAAAGTAAACTTCCTCTGTACATGCTTTATTAAAAATGAACCCCTTCAATAAACCGCAATGAATCCTGGCTCACCAAGTCCTGCCAGCATCCGCCTTAGGATTTACTTCCGTCCAAATTCTAAACCCAACTCTCTTAGTCCTCTAATTGCCTCAATTCTAAGGAACCTCCTTCTTGTCTCCCACCTACTTTAATAATCCTGAATCAGGTGCCTTCTGGTGTTGTTTATTGCTGCAAGAACACTAACAAAGCTTTTTGGAAAAGACAATGGCGAGGAATTCTACCAGCAAAAGGGGAATAGCCTGTCATCAGAATGCTGTCGCCGGCTCTTACTCGCACACGTATCGTCTGCGTGCAATTTCAAAGCTGAGCTGGCTGTCGCGTCAAGAGCCCTCCCTCTTATGAGCATATTCGCTGTTTTGTGTTTTTTACACAGACTGACACTATTCCGGACTCCGCCCCTGCTCTCTGGATTCTGGAGGAATGCAAGCCTCAAACCCGCCCAGCAGCTAAAATGCATCTGGAATTCCTCTGATGAAAAGGATCTGCGGGGAGGGGGGAGAAAAAGGAGGGAGCGCTGCCCTCCCTTCCCCCTCCCCCCGCGCCAATGTCTTTTGCATGGATTTTTTTGCAGCGGTTCCATGCTAGAGGTCTCCACCGAGCTGCACAAATAGGAACTGGCTGCATTGGAAGGTTGCTCTTTCTTTTGTGCATCACCCAGCTAACTCGGTGCAAGTAAAAACCCTGCAGTCTTCAGGTTCTGATTTCTATCCATAACAAAGAGGAATCATCTAGCCACTCCTTCCCGAAAGCAAGATTTTTGACGTGGACAAGAAAGGCCGGGGAATTCGTACGCCACATTTCTGGCCCTGCTGCTTCCTACCCTCGCTCAAGGAAAGAAAGAGGGAAGGTGATGACAGAGCTTGGAGCCTGATACCACTGCAGCAGCACTGATCACAATAGAACATCTGCAAAGCCATTGTCCCAACCTCAGGTCTGCGCAGGATCAGCCCCACTGGCCCATCCTGGCTGATCGCAGCCTTAAAGCCTGGGAACTGGTTCCTGCCTTCTTCAGCTTTGGTCTCTTGGAGAACATATCCTCTGCTCCCCTTCCCCCATCGCTGGTGTTTTTTCACCCCGATTGGATCTCGTCGCAGAATTTTCTCTAAACTCAGCCGCTCTTTGCTTACAGCTCTGGTTCGGATGTTTGCGGAGTAGAGCTAATGCTGAGTGCCGACAGGATGGAAGAGTTTCAGAGTGAGGAAGAGGAACCCTGGTACGACCAACAGGACTTGGAGCAAGGTAAGCAAACGTTCAAACACTAGCAGCACCATAGCCAGGGTGGTCTTCACATGGACAGAAATGACCTAGCAAACAGGAGAGGGGCAAAAGCAAATTCTCTGTTCAACGGGGTAAAAAAAAAAAGCTTCACGCCCCTATTTATAAAATCCGATTCTTTCGCCAGCCTCAGTATGAGAAAGACTGCAGCATCTCTTATGTATCGAACTCCTTAAGTAATAATTCATCGTACATCATGGGGCAATTTCAGGTTAACATGCCTCTGGAGACCTAGAGGAAGATGCATTTTGCGCCTGTTTATTCTAATAGGATAAATCTTTTGTGATGTCAGTGCTCAATGATGTTGGACCTCTGCAAAAACTGTCATGATACTTGGCTGATATTGGACCAGTCGTTTAACTATTAATACTAGTGTAACTTTATATGAAATAGAGTTGGTTAGGACCACTTTAAATAGTGAGAAATTATATCGGGCGGCTAATGAGAGTGGAGCAAGTTTCCAGTTACAAGGAAGTCTAAAGTGAATGAACCTTTTTTAAGGAAGAAATGTGTGGATTCATTTTAATAAACTCACAGGAACATTTTAATGTTGCATGTTTTGTTGACAGTATTGGTTCATCGAGCTGCACAGAATTATGTGTTTAATTTTACTGAAATATGAAAGTTCTCACAACTTCAGTTGCAGAACTGGAATGAGAGAAGGGTAATAAAGAAGGCTTTAAGTATTCAGTATCACATACTTAACACTGATGGAAAATAGAAGCTGCCTAGCCAAATAGATTTGGAAAATATGGAGCCTTGAGCTTATTGAAGGTGTATTCTGTTGTATTATGGAAGTAAGAACATAAATGAACACTTTCTTATGCCATTGAATTAAGCATGGCCCTGATTCTTCCATTAAGATTAGTGGAGTTTAAATGTGCTTAACTTTAGGGTTACAGCTTGCTCCAACTCATCAACAGGGAGCCAGGATTTTTAAATCAAATGTAAAATTAGGATTCTATGTAAAGAATTTAGACTGAAATAGGATTAACTTGATTCTGAACAACATATGCTGTAGCCCCATTTTCTTGAGTCAGCATCAATAAAGCAAATACATTTTTCAGTAGTGAAGTCACTGAACTCAAACTTTAACCATGATCAAGTATTTCTGCTTCATGGTGGAAATGAGGAATGAGTTTATATGGTATGAAAAGAAATAATCCTTCATACAGGATGAAAATATACTTGCCTACTAGTTTTAAGACTTGATCAGCCAGCCCTTAAGAGTTGCTTGCTTAGCAGGGCAACATGCTATCAATGGCATTTTAGTGCACCAGCAAAAGCATTATTTTACACTAGCAGTACAGAGACTTGATACTGGCATGGCAGGCTGATAAACTGGCATAATTGCCAAATAGGGCCCAAGAAATTAGTGGGGTTAATAAATAAGTTTAACTAGGAATATGGGCATGGAGAAGATTTTGAGGCTAGCACAATGGACTATTACTACTTGCTAACTACTGCTACATTTAATTTGCATGGTGCACAAAGCTGTCAAGTACTGATGATATTATACTCGGTGCATTTACCCTGAGCCAAAGTAAGAGTCTCCAGCTGCTCTGTGCTCCAAGTATAACACATTATTGTAAAGTTGGGAAATAAAGAGGCTCACAGAAGAGGAAGGTATGATTATTAGGGGTTGTACATTGCTAAGGGGATCTGGATGCCAGTCTCCTAGAGTTCATAGAAGAAAAGTAATGTTTGGAAGTAGATTCAGACAGGGTCAGTGACCCTTTCTTCAGGTTAAATGTTAGAACAGCTAAAAGGGAAGTAATATGAGAATAATAGTTGTCTTGATGACCTTGTTTACTGCAAATATTTTAGGGTGATTTTGCTGTATCATCACAGGTGTATTGCATGTTGAGCAGGCTGTATCTTTGAGGAGATCAGCAAAAAGATGCTACTAGTTAATCATACCCACTTCCTAAAGCATGTCATATCTATACCAATTTTTATTTTCTTTGAATCTTCAGCTACTTAGAATATGAATGTCTCTGCCCAAAGACACTGACTTCCATAAAATATTAATTTTGTTGTTGCATCCCCCACACTCGTAGCTTGCTTTTCATTTAATTTGCCCTTATCCAAAGACACTTTTTTGTGTTGCCTCTTAATATCTGCTTGTAGTATGCAAAGTGGTTAAAATTCTACATGATGGGAAGGGTGCAATCCTAAGGCATTTTAAAACAGAAATAGGTTTGTTCTAGACATCTAGACATCTATCTGTGATATCTACCTGTGCCCTAAAATAATTAACCCAGATAATTAAGAATCTCAGTTCCTATTTGTAATATCAGCTTCTTTTTGAAAGAGAGAAAGGTTGTGCTTCTCATGTTCTTAGAACTTAGGTGGTCACCCAGTAACTAACATTCTCTGGACAAATTGCAGATGGTTAAAAAAAACAAATGCCATAGAACAGTTAAAATATAAAAATATAAAATACTGAGCAAATAGGCAAAGGAATAAAGTAGAATATAGTGCATTAGCTCTGAGCCTGGAAGGCATTGGCACAGAACTTCCTGTTTTGATAGGGCATGCTGTGCTTGACCTTGCTTATTGCCATGATGCTCAGTACCTTGCCCTAGGGTAGTATGTACAGAGTTTTCTGCACATTTATGAAACAAGGCAATTTAGAGCAGAAACCTAATCTGGATGGTCATATAGAGATGGCTTGTTTGGGTTTTTTAAAGACATTGTAGACAATTGTTTGAGAAATACTAGATCCTTGAGAAAGTGGCTGGGGATGGACTTGATTTTCAGGCATATTCCAATTCCTTGATTCTCTGCTTTTACAAATGTGTTTTGAAAAGTCAAAGTAATGGGTACCTTAATTGATTTTAAATTTGGTATTAGGATTCAGTAATATTAAATAGTTTTTTTTGCATAAGATCTGCTTCCATATATGCTATCAGAACTAAGTCAGCCATTAAGCTTGGATAACAAAATATCAACAAGGAATGAGTGCATTTAATGTCCTGGAGTACATTTTGGTAGCTCAGCCCACCTCTTGCCATTCTATACAAGCTTTCCTTTCTTGGATCTGATCACAGGGAGACATCCCTTAGTTATGTAGCATATGGATTCCAGCAACACACTTTACATGGCACTATATTGGAAACAGTTCAGAACCTTCAGCTGGTCCAGAAAGCCCATTTCTGGGTACAGTTCAACACAATGTTTACTACCTTATAAAGACCTTATTCTCTCATATGAATCTACCTGCGTTTGAAGATCTCTCAGCCCCATTGCTATGGGAAGCATGTTTGGTGACAGTTCTAAAAAAAGGCCTTATCAGTGGCTTTTCCCAGGTTTTGTGGCCACTCCTAGGCCAAGAGAGGCTCCTTTTATTTAGGCAAATAAGCTGATCTGCTGCTGAAGGATGTTTCAATAGCTTGGGTGCAGTTTATTTTATTCAGGGTTATTTTAACTGTATTCTTAATGTATTTGTTTTCATGTTACTTTTTAAGTTCTTGGTTCAATTTCTGGTTTGTTTAGCTGCCTTAAGCATCATTTTTGGTGGAAAGCTGAAATATAAAATGAATTCTTAAGAAGCAGCAGGTCATGGTATTGCAACAGCACAGTTAAAACTGCCTGTAAATTGTGGCTTGTATTACTCAAATGCCCACAGTTCTTCCATCCAATCACAAATAACAGCTGACAAGGGAAAACAGCCCATAGAAGGAGAAAACATCTGTGTTCAGCATGTATTTGTTTTAATCACAACTTCCTTTTCCATTTGCTACAGCAGGACATTCTGAAATCTTGTTCCTCTAAGGAAGTGCCACAACTAGAATGAATGAAAATAGAACTAGGGAAAAAAGAAGAGACAATGAGTCCTGTTTCTGGCAGCTGAAACATGATGATGTGGCTCTATGGACATAATGCAGCAGCTTCTCAAGGAAGGTGTGCTATGAGAGTGCAGGGAGTGAATTAGGAAACCTAAACTATAAAGAAGCTCATCTATCTATGGGGAAGTTTCTTCTTCTCCTTCTCCCATTGCTTGCTTCAGAATAAATGCTTTTTAAAATGGATGGCATTTGGATGTCAAACTACCTTCCCAGATGCTGTGACCCAATGTTCATGCAATTCCTTAATCTACTGATGTATTGCATCCCCCTTTCTTTAGGGGGCACATTGCAGTGTGCTCAGTTCTCAGTGTTATCCTCACAACAGCCTTTGAAGTGGGCTAAGCTGAGTAGGGTGATACTCCCAGACTCACTAAATGGACTTTGTGGCTGAGCAGGGCTGTCAGTTGCTTGTAAATAATTACATGAATTAGCGGCTGCTGTCCAGTGTATCATATGTTTCCAAGGGGACCCTTATCGGTGAACAGGGAGGAAGGAGAGAGTCACAAAAAGGTGGGTTCCTCTGCTTCTCCTTTCTGAAATAACAATAGTTTCCTCCAGCAATACAGTGCTTCATTTCTATATTACTGTGTGGGAAATAAAGTATTGTTCTTCCCTTGTCTTCAAGTTGAAAATAATCAGTGTGGCTGTTCATAGTGCTGTTTCTTTTCTTGCCACAAAATCTGTTAAAGAGGATAAAATGGAATAGCTGTGCAGTACCTTCAGATTGGCAGCACTAGGAGCAATCTGTTTGGAAGAACCCAAGGTGTCTATAAAGCTTTGATTCCAGAGGAGTCCTAGCTATGTTACTCTGTCAATGCAAAGGTTTTTTCTAAAGTTATGTATTACACCTACAAGAGTCTATCTGCAGTGTATTATGTTGATGATATTTCTCCTGCAGTAAAAATGGAAGGTGTGGACAAACTTCTTGCATCTTCAGCAATGCCAGCGGTACAGAACTTTTCACAGGATTTTCAGGATCTAACTGCTGAAACTGTATAAGGCTTGCCAAGAGATTTAGACACTGCTCATGTGGACCGATTCTAAAACTTGCCCCCAAAACTTAAAAGTCCATGCTAGCTATTAATTAAAGGCATGTTGCATTATTTAAAACCA